CACATTTGTTCGGTGATAATTTTAATCCCGATTTCCTTACACATTCGAAAATTTTTGAGAGGGTCGGTATTAGTTCATCAAAATTATTCACTGCACTTCCTATGTCATCCATGAACTGTGTACATAAGTCGGCTGCTAAGCATGGGTCAAGATAGTGCCGTATGAATGAACTAAAGCCCGTGACTGATTTGCTTAGACCTTGAGCTAGGCATTTGTATGCATAAGTTCGTGAACCGAAATTAAATGCCAAAAGTTGGACTGAAAGGTCATCTGCCATTTGCACACAGTGGTATGCTTGCGAACAATCAAGTTTGGTAAACAAGCTCTTTCCTGCGAAGTGGTTTGATGCATCTGTCATGTTTGAGATCGGAAAGTTGCTGTTGATATAGTCATTCTTCAGTGAATGATTTATTCTTCTGAGGTCAATCAACATCCGCAATTTACCAGATGGTTTTCGATGTGCAAACAATGGACTGCTATATTTTGAATGTGACAATGTTGTTATAAGTCCATAATAGTGCATTAGGGCAAGTTCCACTGTCAATTCTTGTCGCAAATGTATCGGCGTAGGTGGGCCTTGTGTGTACAAAGGTCGTGTGTGTTCCGGTTTCAGTTTGATTTTGAGGTCGGAATTGTAACCAACATCAAATCTATGTTTGGCGAAGATGTCCGAAAATTCAACAAGCAAATCTTCTACTTTTGACCTTTGGTCATGTGTCAATACCGAGTTCTCCCACTTAAAATTCTTGATAAATGTCAATCGATCTTGAAAGTTCATTTTTGGTTCAATTTTTTCAAGACCTTGAAAATGAAGAATTTGGTCGTAAATGTCACGTTGGATTTGTGGAAGTAATACAGGGTTTTGACATGTTTCAGGAGTAGGAAACCAAAATTTTTCATACTCAGGTTGACGTTGCTGTTGAGACTGCTGATTATCACAATGTTGCTGAATTAGCTCGTTAATGCCCATTTCAATATCGTCTGGATTATTCATTTTTGCAAAAGCAAGCATTTCTGCATCAATTGGTATTAGATTTTCTGCTTCAGTTAGAGTCAGAATTGAAAATTTTCCAATTTCGGTTTTGAAAGGCAATGTAACATGATGATCAGTGATGTTAAAGGCTGTGATGTATAGCAGGTTATTTGTCAGAACTTCACTAATTGAGGAAGTGAATGCAATTTCGCAATTTTCTTCAAATTCTTTCGATGGCATTACGATTCCGGTTGTTTTTGCCATGTCCCGGCATGCGTCCTTTAAATGACATTCCACCAGAATGGTTTGATGCGGAGCTATTGTTTGACGTTTTGTTAGAATTAACGGGAATTTTTTCACTCGATTAATTCTTCTAGGCTCGTTTGGAGGTTTTATTTCGTTGATTTGCAGAGTCAAATCTGGGAAATGAAGTAAATTATACTTGGCACAGATATGAATGTGGTGTTTTTTGTAGAAAGGGTTTCCTAGAATTATTGAGTTGGCTGCATGTAGAACGAGAAAAGATTCTACAAATGTCATGTCTGCCAATTTAAATTCCAGTGTTACTTCTGTTTCAATTGGCACGAGTTGTCCTCCTGCCATTCTTACTCTCTTAAGTTTTGATTCACTTATTTTAAGAGGGCGGTATAAAGATTTTTCATCTTTTAAGTCGTCAAATGTCTGTTTTGAGATGACATTTGCGCAGGCTCCTGTATCAACCAGGGCTCTTCTTTGTAATCCCGATGAGAATCGTAATTTTGTGTACGTCAAAACTGTTCCTTCCGCAGGAATTACTGCGTAAAGGTTGATTATCTCATCAGGTGGAATTGACGGTTTTGATGATTTAGATGATTGAAATGATTTGGGGGACTGACTCGGTGGCTTGATTAGTTTTTTGGCTGATTCTGAAACGGAACTGATTGACCGTGTCCTTGTGGTTTTTGTCTCCACCAGCATTGGCTTGCCGTATGGTTGAATTTACCACAAATGTCACAAAATTTGGCTGATGCTCGAACCATTGGTTCGAAAGATCCAGATGGAAGTTGAATGTCAGCTTGCGCTGTCTGAGTTCCATTGAATTGATGTTGTTGTGGTTGCAGGTAGTTCGCGTTTTGCTGTACCTGTGCTGGTTGAATCTGCACCATCGACTGATTTTGCTGCATATTTGGGTACTGTTGGTATTGATACCATGGTGGATATTGCTGAGGTGCAATTGGTCCCATATTTTGGAAATTAGTCTGATTATTGTTAAATCCAAAATGATTTTGCCAGTTAGATCTGTTTTTTCCTTTCCTGCCACTTTGCTGCTGTCCAGGCCAATTATTTTGGTTTTGGTTACCACTGCACTGACTGTTTTGTTTTGCGTTGTTCTTGTTTTGATGAGAAGGCGGATTCAATTGTTTTTTTGACTGCTCAGTTATTTGTGATCTCATTTCGTTGATCTGCTTCTCAATTTGTTCCTGATTTGTGGACAATTTTGTGAGAGCACTGATCAAATTTTCTGAGACTCTGTCGTTTACTTCATTAAATCCGTCTTCCGGGTAGTCTTCGTTTCGGCAAACTTCTCGGATCATGATCTGCTTCTTCGTCAAATTACACAATTCTTGGACAGTAGTTGCTTGTGGTTGCTCCATCAATTTTGATCGCAGCCAGTTTGGCATTCCTTTTATGAACAATCGTTTAATTTGTTCATTGCGATTGTCATTTACTGCATCTATTCTTTCTTGTCGTTGTGCAGTTTCTCGGTGAAATCGCGCTGTGTCTGCTACTAATGGTGCTCCGTTTAATGCAACATCGATTGGGTCGACAGCTGGCAAATCTGGGGTTGGGTACGCTCGTTGCGCTTTATTTGTCAAGTTCACCAAGAAGTTCTCGGGTGAATCGATTTTAGGATCGTAACGTAGCTGTTCTAATTTCAGTACATGGATTTCTTGAAGCTGGGGATTGCAGAAATGATCCCTTAGGGCGCCAAGACTATTCTCTACGTTCGCTCGAATTGCTGCTGGCAGCGTTTGGTAGAATCGTAGTGCCGCTTCTCGTAGGTGTAGTTGCAAGAAGTTCGCTTGCTGACCAGGAGCGATTCCCGCAACTCCGATGTATCCTCGGAACAATTGCTCGAATTGCTGGAAGTCTTCTTTGTCCGTTCCACCGTATGGTGCGACCGAAATTTGCGCGTGTGCCATCTTATTACAGTTGAATGATTATCAGATTTGTGATACAGTTAATGATTGAGCACAGCACTTAGTCGATTTAAGGGGGGCACAAGAAAATTTTGCTAGACTTTCCTTATTTTGGATTATTGAACCTTTATGCATCTATTGCTATTCTGATTTTGGTTATTCTTTCCATCAGGGTTTGCTAATATTTCCGTTACTTCGCTTTTTTTTGGTTGGGGAACTTATTAGTTACAATATCAATTTACTGCAAGTGAGTTTTGAGTTTGTTTTTAACTAACTGTTTTGACGTTGGAAACCTTTCATCTACTTCCTTTTCTGCCTCTTCAGTAGCTCACTTGACATACCATCTGACAGAAGTAGAGAAGCTGTAGGTCACAATCCACATGTCTGCTTGTAGATTGGAAAAAGTTGTCAGCTCAGGAGATGTTGAAAAGTTGTGGTTGTCTTCTTTTTTCTCCCTGTCTGTCAGTTGTTCACTGAGTTTTGCTCTGCTGCCAACATCTGAGCATTGCTGTGCTGATCAAGATGTTTTTTTTTTTTTTTTTGTTCTGCTTCAGCAAAGTAGTGTTGTCACTTTCTGCTCAAATTATGATGTTTGCAATCGCCGATGACTGTTTTGAATCCAGAAGTTGAAATTCCCGCGAAAGTCACCATATAATATACCGTATCTGGCGGATGGATAATACGGGTATACTGTCGTCTACTGTTATGCGAGCTGTTCAATTGGTAATGTTATTTAGCACTACTGGCTATCAATTGTATTTAGATTGGATTCATTATTTAGATATGTCTCGAGCGGTAAAGACCTATCTTGCTTTAAAGGATGCTGGTTCCGATTCCTAGCTTCTGATATTTCGCAAGTCGATCGGCGCAAGTAAGAGCATGATTGGAATAGTTTATTAAGTTGATCTCTATTCAATTGATTCGTAGCTCGGTATAAATCTCCAATGATTGGTATTAATTACCATCAATGTTTACATAGTTAAATAAATATATGATGCAGCTCTATTTTAACATCAAGGTGAATTATGTAATCTATTCGGTTCAGATGGTTAATTAGAATGAATGACATCATGAAGGGATGATGTCACATATAGGGAGCAATTCCAACATCTGGCAGCAATTGCACTATCACAGGCCCGCCCGCTCTGAGCATGTCATCCAAGTAGCAGGAAGTTGGCACAACATCCAGCGGAGTGCCTTCTACATCAATCATGTTCGAAGGGCAGCGACAATCCAGTGCACCTGGGAAAAACAAATTTTGGGTTGGGGATCGGTCGGCCTGATATTCCGCAGTGTTTCTTGTCCACCCCTAACTTGCACTGAGAACAAGCATTGGAGTTGCTTCCCAAGACCTTTACGGCAGACAGCATAAGGGTACTTCCCAGAGTCTTTGAGGAGATCAAGGCCGATGCGTGTGATCAGGAACTTTGTCTTTTTCATGTTGACTCGCAGACCTTTCCTCTCCATGCCAGTTTTCCAGATCCGGAGTCTAACAAGGCATTCATCAAGCGTATCAGCCATTATAACTAACTCAACCACATGGAGGAGCTCCCAAGGCACGCATTTACATTGATTGAATCGTTGTGAGAGGGCCTTTAGGACTAGGATGATAAGAACAAGGCTTAGAACAGAGCCCTGATGTACACAGGCACGCACTTCGGTTTATTCGCTTTACTAACCGTTTACATGAAACCGACTCCGGGCATGACAGTACATACCCTAGACGACCTGCACCGCCCATTCTTCGGCACTGAGACTTCGAAGGGCCAGCTACTCTGTGTTTGAATAGAAGGCTGATATTCTCTTCCGTTTTTTTTTGGATTTTTTATCTGTGTTTTTTACCGTCTTTTCATCTGTGTGTTTGCTTTTTTTTTGTTAATTGATCTGTTTTTAGATTAGTTAATTGACATCTGATAATTGAAAATGGTAAGAAATTTTAAGTTTTATGATGAGAAACAATCTGGTTACGTGATAAGGGAAATGTTTATTTATTCTAGCCTTCTGCTCCTCCTGGCGAAGCTGAAACGGTCAAAGTTATTGTCCGCTGCAGGCCTCTTTCAGAAAATGAGAAGAAAACGGGATATAACAGGTTTTTATGAATTAGAAAGGAAATCATACTCGAAATTGAATTTAATTGCCTCTTCAAGGATTTTATCAAAAGCGACACTCTAATCTTATCTGAATCCAATGAAAAAAAAAATTTCCTGTAAGAAATGGGTGTTTTATCCATTAAATGGAAAAATTTGATTCTCAGTGAAAACTAGGTTGAAGTTTATAAATTGCAGTTTATTTAGGGAAAGATGAGAACTTTAGTTAAGGGCATTTTTAATCTTTATTCTGTAGTTTGCCTTCAGAATAGTCGAGATGGACACCAAAGTTCCAGGTTGAAGTTTATAAATTGCAGTTTATTTAGGGAAAGATGTGAACTTTAGTTAAGTGCATTTTTAATCTTTAATCTGTAGTTTGCCTTTAGAATAGTCGAGATGGACACCAAAGTTGGGCGTATTGAGATCACGAATCCTTCTGACAAGACCACAAAGGCGTATACTTTCGACACTGTCTACGATTGGAAGTAAAAAAGCTTTTCCGAGTTGACATTACGAAATAACTGTCGTATTTTAATTTTAAATTCACAGTTGATCTTTGTTTTAGTTCAAAGCAGCAAGATTTGTATGACGAAACATTTAGAAGTCTTGTTGACTCCGTTCTTGAAGGCTTCAACGGGACAATTTTTGCTTATGGCCAAACAGGTACCTGCAATACAAACAGAACGTAGTGAAAACAGTTATATAGGCCGTGTTAGTTTTTTTTAAGCTAAAGTGTTAGAAAATTGTTCACGCCAAATTTGATCTTCATCCTCATGGACTTTTGGTTTTTTTAAATTTTAATTCAAATACAATGCTGATTTGAATTATCCAGACGAAACGAATAAAACTTTGAGAAATAAATTTTTTAGAATCAGTAATCAATTAAATAAATAACATATGATCACTAAAATACATTATCAGTCATATAGTGAAAACCAAGAGGTCCGTAATCGCAAACAGCACAAGCCAAAAACTATTGCTCCTGATGGCAGACACTAAAGTGGTATATTGTCTATATGGTTACGCTGATGGGTCGCCTCCAATTGATAATTCCATTCGACCTGCCGTTATTTGTCCACCTCTCGACAGCATTGCCTGCGCGTTCGACCGCATTAATAGGCAGCTGAGCCGAGTGTAAATGGCGTTCTTCATCTCCGGCGTGCTGGTTGCTGTTTGCATGGCCACACGAGATGCAAGGCGGTCTAGGAATGCGATGGCCTCGCTTCCCCACTCGCCATAGCAAGTGACTACCATAGGAAGGCACTCCCAGCCAAGTTCCCGGCACTTCGCGTCGTTATTGCCGTGCTTTCTTGATGCCGCTGCTGCTGAACCCCTAATTGCGATCGCTCCGTCAATGTTGGTGTCGTTGAGCGGATTCACAACTGTGATGTCCAGGGCTGCATCCTTCCCGAGATTCCACGTTGGCACGAGCACGTCTGCAGGGCGCGTTTGATCGCGAAACCCTGCTCCCGCTTCTAGAATGGGATTCAGTTGTGCTCTGCGACAGTAGTCGGCAATAGAGTTGTGCAGGCCATTGTGTCGTCTGCAAACTTCTGGGCCCCGTTTACATGTTAAGGCGTGCTGGGCAAACTGGTCAAGTGTCTCGTTTGGGCAAAGAGGGCACGTTGAGTTAGATGGAAAAATTTCCAGTCCGAGCCGCCATTTGGTGAGAACATTAAACTCGTTGGGTGATAAGCCTAAGCCTAGCGCTTCTGAGGGCTGCGCGCGGATCCAGTCTCCATTGAGGTTCAGTCAAGGATGTTAACTTCACTTTTTCAGCAAGCGTGCACGTTTCTTCTAATTCGTGGAAACTGTGCTCGTCAATCAAGTCGGATAACGGTTTCTGGCGAATGAGCTCTGAAGTCGAACTGAGGGGTTCATGGTCTCCTATTCTGCTGTTGAAAATTTCAAGTGCGCTTTCCAGTTTCTGAGCGTCAAATGCGGCACCCATTGAGAATTTGTGTGAGGCTATGAATGCAGGGCTGCAGTGGTTTTCGAGCGACCGCAGGCCGAATCCTCCGAATCGTATCGGTAGTTGTGCTTGTGTCCATGCTCGATCTGTTGCGTTTATGACCACGCTCTCTTCGAAACATTTCCTGACACTGTCATCAAACTTCTTCAGTGCAGGAGCTGAGACGTCTGGAGGAACTGATCTTGCGAGGTGGCTGGTATCTCGACGACGGTGTGTTCTGCGGCAAAAGATCAGAAATAGAGAAAGTCTTAGAGATCCTGACCAACGCCACCGCAGTCACCGGCCTCTCAGTTAAACTCAGTAAATGTGAACTATATAGCAGATCGGACCTGTCGTGCTTTCCCGAGGCAATTGAGAAAAAGTACCATGAACCGAATTTACAAATGTTAGGGGCACCGATAGGCAGCGCGGAGTTCTGCAGGAACATCATCGCGGAGAAAGCAAAGGAATCGAACGAACTGTTGTCGAAATTGCCCGAGTTAGGAAACCCTTGCGAGATACCAACATATTTAAAATGTGCTTTTCTCAAATTTAGTTGCCAAATATAAAATTCACCAAAGATAAAATATAGCTTTACAAGAAAATGTTAATCATAATTTTTATTGAAATTTAAAGAGCTGAACGTTCATTCGTTTTTTCTTTAAAATTCGAAAATTATAGTTGTTTAGTTACGTTTGCGACTAAAAAATCATTCAAGTTTTAGGGTTTATTGATGCTTTTCCCTCGGTCGGTTGGCTATGTTTTTAACAGATATTTGAGTTGGACGATGATTTTTTCTAGGGACGGGGAAAACCTTCACAATGGAAGGTGTCAGATCCAATCCTGAATTGAGAGGAGTGATTCCTAATTCTTTCGATCACGTTTTTAATCACATCGCGCGAAGCACGAACACACAGTTTCTCGTGCGAGCGTCATATCTGGAAATATACCAAGAAGAAATTCGGGATTTATTATCCAAAGACCAGTCTAAGAGACTAGAATTGCGAGAAAGGGCTGACACTGGAGTATATGTCAAGGATCTTTCTTCGTTTGTTACTAAAAGTGTTAAGGAAATTGAACACGTCATGAACGTCGGAAACCAAAACCGCTCCGTTGGGTAAGATTGTGTTTGTAATATTTTAAATTGAAAGATTCTATGAATAAATCTGAAGTTTTTAAGCCTGCGATCATTCAAATCGAATCATATGCTTTTTACATGGAAAAAACTTGTCTAACAGTTATGATTTTTTTGTATCTTCGTCGTAGAAGTTATCGGCTTAAATCAAAACTTCTTTCCTAATGGCTTTTTTTAAGCAAAAAAAGACCATTGAGACGTTATGATTTAAGCCGATAGTTTGCGTCGTTTGATGAGCGTAAAAATTCAGTATGCCTGTGTTTTTAGGGATATGACTTATATAAGCACATCGTCCAAATAAGGGCTGATACCATTCAAAACAATGAATACATTAATTTCGTTTAAGAGCAACAAATATGAATGAGCACTCCAGCAGATCACACGCAATTTTCATCATCACCGTTGAATGCAGCGAGCTTGGTGAGGATGGGGAGAATCACATCCGCGTGGGGAAATTAAACTTGGTGGATCTCGCAGGCAGTGAACGGCAAAGCAAAACAGGGTCAACTGTAAGTAGAAGTTGATAAATTTCATTCAGCTCGGTAGATGTTCACATGGTTGCCAGTAAGAGGTGTGCAATTCAGGGAGTTTAAATTGCAGTTTAATACGAGTTTTTACTAAGTCAATGCAATTTTTTTTTCAAGTTTTCAAGACCTCAATCAAAAATTTTTAAGAGTCTATGAACGTAGTTCAGACTGTTATATAGGTGCTGATGATTTTTTTGTTTTTTTTTCAGGAAAAATCTTAAAAATTGTTGGTCTAAAATTTAAATTTTTCGCGGTTTGACGTATGAATTCTTTTCAAGTTTAGCTCATTCAAGTTATGGTAAACTCAACTATCGAACAGCAAAGTGTAAAGGTCATGAAAAACGTGATCAACTTCTAGTTTCGAAAATGGAAGTTAGTAATCAGATTTCCCAGCGGAATAAAAACATTTTCTATTGGTCCAGTTTTCTCAAATTGGGTTAATTTTATTAAAGAAAATAGCAATCATAAATGTTCTAGAAAATCAAAGAGCTTGAAGGGCGTCTATTTTTTCTTTCATATTCGAAAGTTTTCTTTTTTTTCTGTTTGCTTGCGTTCATTGACATTTTTACACTTGTCTTTTGGCTATGTTTTTTTTCTAGAAAATCAGGAAACAAGGGTTTTAACAAGTTTTCTCGTAAAATTTCAAGAATTGTGACGTTCATAGGGGATTTGTTTTGTCGAGCAGTGTCCGCAATCAGAATTTTTCTGGCACAAATTTAGCCACATAAGTTCTGAAGCATATCTTAAATACATTTTTTCGTATCGTACACGTCGAGTACCTATACATTAAAAAAATCGGATTTTTTTTAAGGGAGAAAGACTGAAAGAGGCTACGAAAATTAACCTCTCACTCAGTGCACTGGGCAATGTGATCTCGTCTCTGGTAGACGCAAAGAGCAGCCACATACCCTACAGGGACTCGAAGCTAACCCGACTGCTCCAGGACTCACTTGGTGGCAATGCAAAGACTGTGATGGTGGCTGCGATTGGACCTGCGAGTTATAACTATGAAGAGACACTCTCAACTATAAGGTGCTTATACTAGGAAGTCTCTAGACTTCTGGAATGCCGAGTTTCACTCTTGTAAACCGAAATTTCTTACCTGTTTTAACTATGCTGACAGCTCCAAGAGCACGATTTTGATGTTCATTACTTGGTTGATTCAACTTGTGACTTGGTAGTTGTATGCTGTAAAATACTTGTTGTTTAGATACGCAAACAGGGCAAAGAACATCAAAAATCAGCCCAAGATAAACGAAGATCCGAAGGATGCATTACTCCGCAAATTTCAACAGGAGCTTCTTAAGTAAGCTTCATGAATGGATATCAAAGTATAGATAATAAAAAATAATGCTCGTAAGATTTTGATATGCATTGCGTTTAGATTGAGAGAAGCACTTGGTAAGAAAGGCGGCGGAAGTGGGTCTGAAAAGAGGAGCAAGAAAGGTCGCAGGAAGAAGAAAGTGATGAACGCCAGTGGTGGTCAGTATTCATGAGTACATTTTTGGTTTCAGAGATTTTGTTGCCTGTATTAGCGCAGAATTCGCATTTTTTAGTTTCAACCAAAAAAAAGGTTGGTTCAAAAATGTGTTCAGTGTTTTTTTTTAAGCTGCGTAAGATTTTGATGATAGAAAAAAGGTCCCCTGGAGCATTGTTCTTGCGGCGAAATATTTTTGATCCGATTCCATCAGTTATTTCTTATTTTCTGTCTAAGAAAACAGTAAATTTACGTGACCGTAGAAGTTTCGTTTTCGCTCTAGAGATGGAAGAAGTGTCGGAGTCAGAAGACGATGACGATGAAGAGGGGCAAGGCGGCGACAGTGCAGAAGTGGAGGCCGAATTCATGAAGCAGGAGCAGGCCAGACTGGAAGAGGAGAAGCAGAAGCTGCTGGCCAATCACAACATGATAGCAGAGCAGAAGCAGCAGTTGTTGGCTGACATGGAGAAGAAGGCTAGTGAACTGGGCAAGAGGCAGAAGGACCACGATGCACTGGTCAATAAAATTAAGGTATGTTTAAAATTCCAGTGTTTTGGAGAAAACTGGCTGGGACGAATACCTATTGTGATAACGATATAGCTCCCTTCTGAAGCATCTTCGCTGGGCATGATTACTTATAAAGTCCTATTTAAAATACGAAAAGACTTGAAGAGGGTAAACATAAGAAACTGCTTGTTATGAATTCAAATTTTGGTAAACATGAATGAGTTCACTGACAGAAAATTGGGTCATACGATTACAGGTTTTGTTAGTCAATCATGGCAGCGAATCCTGATTGCCTGAGGATTTAATTACCCTGCGTGATCTGTATTACACCGTATTCTTATCAAATGACTTAACGTTTTCTGCTTTTAGACGATGGAGAGTAAGTTGTTGGTGGGTGGGAAGACGATTTACGACCACACGACAGAGCAGGAGGCGGCGATTGAGAAGAAGAGGAGTGAGATTGCGAAGCAAGCGGCCAAGGAGAAGGAGATCGCGAGGAAGTTGGCCGAGAAGGAGGAGTCCATTATGGGAAAGCAGGAGACATACAAGAGTCTCAAGGAGGAGGTGGACGTGAAGACAAAACGACTCAAGAAGGTAAACTGCCTAACATACCACAGTCGTTCATGATCTCTTCGTTCATGATCCAGATGTTATAATAGTTCATTGATCATACAACCAGGGTTTTTGAATTTGATTTTAACCGGGTGCATTAAGTCAAGCTAGGAGATTTGGGGATGGTCATCGAATAGTATATCTATTTGGGTATCGGTTTTAACAATTGAGGCGTGATTCATGGATGTATAATAAGCAGAGTGCTGAATCTAACAGGCCGCTTTTGGTGTTTCAGCTGCAGAGTAAGCTAGAGACAGTGTTAAACGAGACAGAGGACCTCAAAGCAGAAAACTGGCGTGAGTTGCAGGAGCTACAGGTGACAGTGGAGGAGCTGAACAGAGACCTGAAGATGAAGGCCCTGGTGATTGAGAACTTCATCCCGATGGAGGAGAGGGAGAAGCTAAACAGACGCTTGAGGTTCAATGAAGATGAGAACGAATGGTATCTGGTGCCATATGCTTCCGCCAGGTAACGATGTGTGGCCGTGATTAATTGCACCTTAAATGCGATTTACAAAATTTATTTGCGAGAAATTCCGTAAAAATAAAAATCAGTTACAAAAAATTTAGTAGTTTAAAATGTCTTTTACTCACACCAGATATATAATAAAACGGGTCGTAAATATTAGAGGCTTTCTGGCGCATTTAATTTTTTCTTTATGAATGATCTTCGTTTTGAATTAATTGAAATCTTATTTGCAAATAATTTCTTTCAATTGTTTTTATTAATGTGAAATTTTATTGTAATGTTTATAGCAACCAGAAAATGGCCAAGCGGGTCATATCAGCGCTTGGCTGCAAAAGGCCAACAACTGATTACGCCCGAGTGGCATCGAAGAAAATGGGCAACCCCAGATACAAGGGAGAGAACATATTGCAACTGGAGCTGGAGTTACCTGTGAGAACTACAAGGGATTACCAGGGACCTACAATTGCGCCCAGGGTACAAGCTGCGCTGGACCAGGCGCTCTTACCACAAGAGGGCGACCTGGAAATAGACGCAGAGTAAGTTGTTTTTTAAACGAGTGGTATGCAGTCGCAGTGAAATAATTTACACATGTCAGCGATCGTAGTTTTATATTACCAAACTGACTTTTTTCCAATCCAACCTGCAATTAAAAGTGCTCAATTTTGATGGCCCTTTGCTGCATAGCATTGAAATTTTAATAGCATCTGTAGCTGTTTATTGGTGGCTGGCGGAGTTCAATTGCAAGTCACCGTGGCGCAGATGCGAGGACGTCAGGCTCGTAATCTAGGCCCGAGGATTGATTCCGGAACATGGCAATAGTTTTTTATTTGGTGGCACCTTTGATGCAAAGCATAGACAATTAAATTTTATCTGCTTCTTAATTGGATTCTACTGTTCGCATCGTTTCAATTGACCGTGGCGCAGATGTGCGAACGTGGGACTCGTAATCTTGAGGTCGGAGGTTCGATTCTGGTGCATAGCAAAAGTTTTTTTTTCAGAATTTATTTACACAAGTTAGAGCCTAGTGTAATACGTACTACGAACCAATTTTTTCTAACATTTGTCGCATGTAAAAGTGCTCATTCGGTGGAACTGTTAATATATTTCCAACCATTGGTATATTTCCGACCATAATAGCATCTATTGCTGCTTCATTGGTGGCTGATGGTCGTTCCTGCCTGATAAAAAGAGGCTTAATGAAAATTTTTGGAATTAGTTTTTTTTTGCGATGCTTTGAATTTTTTTTCGACACATTGAATTTGTTTTGATCTTTTCGCAGAAATTTTGTGTTTCTCGGAAACTGCTCTTCTGATTCTTAAAAAGTGCTACCAATCTAAAAACTGGTTGCTGTCGTACGTGCCTCCATAAGGTTTATTAAGAGTCGATAAACGTAGCTCAGACTCTTATATAGGTGCTGATTTTTGTTTCAGGAAAAGTCTTAAAATTTGTTCAGTGTCATTTGACATTTTTCGCAGTTTGAATAGTGATTTCTTTTCAAGTTCAGTGCATTTCCATTGATGAAAGGGCATTTCCATTGATGAAAGGACTATCGCGGAAAAAAATTACCTATTGATCCAGTTTTCTCAAATTGGGTAATTTTTATCGAGAAAGTGGCAAGCTTTTAGGGCTCTTTTTTTTAATTTCGAAAATTGAGATTTCAAAGAAAAGTCGGTAATTTTTTTTCTGTTGTGTAGGTGCGGTCATTTAATCTTTTCCAAATGTCTGTCGGCAATGTTTTAAGTTTCAATTTTGAAAGATTCTTGAGCATTTGGTCTTGGCAACTTATTAGTTTGTTTTTTTTTTCGGGAAAACTTTTAAATTTTATTCACGCTAAAGATTGATGCTTCGCAGTTTTGACTTTTGATTTCTCTTCAAGCTCACATCATTTCCTCGGTTATTTTTGTGATTAAAGTGTCAATCATAAGTTTTACTTGAAATTCAGAGCTTTAATGTCACTATTTTATTTTCTTTAAAATTCAAAAATTTTTTATTTTTTTTCTTCTAAAACGTATTTTACGTATTTTTTTTGCGTTTATGACTCTTTGTCTGTTGGCTCTGTTTTCTTGTTTATTCTTGCGAGAGTACGTTACAGGTTGGTTCCCACTTTGTCTAAAGGTAACGTGTTTGCCTTTGTACCCTATGATCTGGGGTTCGAGTCCCGGCTGGACCTCAGAGTCAATGAACGTAGGTCAGATTCTTATATAGTTGCTGATGACTTTTTTTCGTTTTTTTTTTTTCAGGAAAAACCGTAAAGCTGGCTCAGGCTCAAGTTTTATTTTTCTTATGATTTTTTTCTAAGTTCAGTTCAGTTCATTTCCTTTGTTAAAAGGAAGTCAAACTCCATTATTGAACAGCAAAAGTGTAAAAGTCATGAAAAACGTGATCGACTTCTTGTTTTGAAAGCGGAATTGATTTTTTTAGATTTCTCCACGGAGTGTAAAATTTACCTATTGATCCTGTTTTTTTTTTTCAGCGTGAGCTAATTTAGTCAAAAAAGTGTCAATTATAAATTGTTCTAGAAAAACAAAGAACTTGAAGGACATCTATTTTTTCCTTTTGAGATTCGAAAGGTGAAATTTTTCACAAAAATTAGTCATTCTTTTTTTTCTGTTTCCTTGCGTTCATTACTCTTTTTCAATATTCGATTATCTATATTTTTTATATTCCAATATTTTGGTCGGCATGTTCGCCTAGAATTAGTTTATATCGTGACATAGGAAAATTTTTGGCCGTCCTAGTATTTTCCAGCCTTTTTCATTTTTTAGACTAATATTTTTTAAATTATTTTTATGCTGTATTGCAAGTGATGTGAAACTCCGCTATGCCTCTGTGTCTCATAAACTACCCTCGCAAATCTCAAAAGAGGTTTTCAATCAACAGATAACGTTTTAGGGACTCTCCCTGCATAAGCGGCTACGCCTTAGATTCGGAAGAAAAAAGTCCTTGGATCAAAAAGGCCATTTTTTGACATTTGATCATTCTTTTTTTCCGATCTTTTTACTTTTCTTGAAAAACATCCGCTATCAAAACTTGTGTCAAGGGTTCAATCGACAGATTTGGTTACAAGAGTTGCGCCTATTTAAGTATCTATGCCCTCATTCAGTAGAAAATAGTAATGGCCTCAAAAAAGGCTAGTTTTTAAAATAATATTGGTTGTCTTGAAACCTTGATTTTTCTCGAAACTACCTTGCGAATTCTACGATTAAAGGCCAATTCAGATTTTTTGACTTCCTGCTTTGTCCATTTTTGGTTTCTGGTTCGATTCTCTTCGAACCTTTTTGCCAATCTAACCTGGTGATTTTAAATGGATATTTTGTGGTTTTTTTTGCCCTTGCGATAGGCAAGAGTGTGGCAACCGACAACGATTACTGGACATTTTCATTTAAATAAATTCGTTCACAGGGTGACTCTAATTCGTGGTCATCTCCAAATCTATGTTTTCATCATTTAACGGAAAGATTTTGAGCATGTCTGCATTTTAAATGACCGTTCGGTTCGTAAGTTATTTTTGTTTTGGTTGTAATTTACTTTCTCCGATTTCAGTATATCAGTTTTTCGTTTTTTTTTTCTTTTTTTTGGATTAAAAGAATTGTGCTATTTTTTGCCAGGTAGCGGCCTCATTCTGAATCATATGATGACCACAAGAAAGTTATATAAATATTTTGAGGGGGTGACATCAAAGCTTTTCTGAGTTTTTCTTTTTTTATGAAAGACTTTTTTTTCAGCTCAACGTGTATGTGCTCAGGTTTTGGGGCTTTGTACGTTTTGTTTTGATGCTTAATTAGCAGTCATTTGTCTTAATTGAATTGTTTTTGTAGAAGGATTTTTTTTAAGGCAATATCAAGTCAAGGATATCAAAATTTTAGTAGATCAATTTTTTCGACATTTTTCTTATTGCTGTCGGTTAGTTTGGCATTCTATATTTTAAAAGTGGAAATAAAATTTTCAGGTTCAAAAAAATTGTCGGCTTTTTTTGTCTACGTATGTTTTTTTCGGCTCAGTTGTTACATCGTAGAATTTTTTTGCTGTAAGCAAGTTACATTGTAAATGCTTTAAGTGTTTTGATTTACTTCTACTGTTTGTGAATTTACTTACAATGACCTCGTATATTTTCTTATGGTTTTTTCGCTTAAAAACTTTATTCTGCTCAAATGATTTCGGCTAATATTTTCTAATTTCTAGTGGTTTCAATGGAAACGTAAAATTTTTTTATGCTCCCCTCTGGATCGCGCAAAAAGCTGAAAATCCTAACTACACTTGCGAAGCAAAGTGTATTAATACGAACTTTGTTTGTTTCCAACCTAATTCGCAAATATTGGTGTCACTTTTGGGTCACCTTTACAGCTTATTGATAGCATGTGCTTTGACATTCGAATAGTAATAAGTTAACACAGTTGATGCATTTTTAATTCATCAAATGAAGAGAAAAAAGCTATTTGTTTCAAACAACAGAACAATAATAAAAACTTGATTTCAGAAATGTTCTAACTCAAAATATCTCGCATTTTTTTGAAATGCATAATTTATAGATAATGTGGCTTCTTGCTTGCCGATATACTACATGCAAAATTGTGTCTTTCTGTATTTGGTGCTACTTTTGCTGCATCGAATCGGCAATTTATTAGCATATAGTTGCGTTATTGGTGGCTAGTTTTTGGGGATTTTTGGTGGCTAAATTGGACACCAAATAGAAGTTTTTAGGGAATTAGTTATAGTTTCATATTGCTTCGTGAGATTTCAAAAAAGTTGTCAGTGTCGACAAAAACCCTGTGCCGTAATTTGAATTTTTAAGAAATTTCATAAAATGTTGTAAATGACAGTGCCTTGAATTTTTCCGTTTCCAGACTAGTTTTGTTCTTGTGTCCCAGTGTTTACTGTATTGAGTTAGCAGTCTTAAAATATTTTTTACTCGCGAGTTAATTTGTGCTAAGTTAACTGATTTCAAGGGACAATTGGTTTTCAGGGACGTTTTTGTACTTTGAAATGTCGATACCACCCTGAGATGCTCAAATTTCCTAAAAATTTAAGGTGTCGATTTTTTTGTAAATGCTTCGAGGTTTAAAAATTGGCATAGTGTAATTTTCATGGAATAATTTATGTGTAATTTTATTTACTTCTGTTTTACTAAACTTGTTCATCTGTACTTTTGGTTCCGACCACTTCACGAAGAAGTGAAGTATGTCGTTCGGCGTGTTTTTTTCTAAAACATTTTGACTAACTGGAAAGACAGTCAAATTCGGTATCATATGAAATCCCCTCAGAATTTAGTTTTTTGAAAAGAATTTGTCAGTGTGCCAAGAAAATTTGACCTTTTTACGAATTTTTTAAAGAATTTTATACAAAATTGATGACACTGGTTTTGATCCCAATTTAGTTCTAATTCAACTTAGCTTTGAACTTTTTGTCGCAGTCAATCGCCATTTGGTTGTTGTTTCGAACATTTGAAAAATGTGGAGAAACATTTTATTCGGGTGTTTTAGTTTTTTTGCTTCCTACGCAAAATCAGGTATCACAAATAATAATCGGAATGGGTCGAATGATATATAGTGTAGTAGCTCTTCAGTCGTGATTTGAACGACTAAAATTTTTGAAAATATTTTCAGTGTCGAGAAAAACCGGTTTGAATTTTTTGATTTTGCGTCTAATTTTGAGCAAGTAAAGCGACCAAGCATGCTAATTTATGCTTAATTTAGGCCGTTTACAGTAGCGTATTTATGTTTAACTTTAATTTATTTGAATAAAATGAGTTTTTGGAGTTTTATTAACGCCATTTTGAGAATCAAAAACTCAAAAAGTTTCTGCAAAAAAAACGAAAACCCAAAATGTTTTTTCCCTTTTTAATGATTTTTTGTTTTTCTAGTAATTTTTTTTTTTCAAAAACTGTAGCCCAGCTTGCTTGTTTTACAATTAAAGTGTCGAATATACCTAAATTATTTTTTGTTCATATCCTCTTATCACAACGACAATAATTTGAAAGAAAAAGTTTGTGTATGGTCGGAAAATTCTGTGCTCTTTGCACAGTAACCGGCTATCCTTCTTTTCAAATGTTTTTCTTCGATAAGTGTTCAATAGCCAATAAATGTAATAAAGAAACTCAAATAGGTCGTGATAATTTGAAAAATTATTTCAGGAAAAATTCTTGAAGTTTGCTCACGCTCAGTATTGATTTTAAATGGTTTGACTTTTAATTTCCTTTTAAATTCAGTTCATTGCTTGTTTCAAGCTAGGTAAACTTCACTATCGATCAGCAAAAGTATAAAATTTACGAAAAACATTAACAACTTCTAGTTTAAAAAATTGACATTAATTTTAAGGTTTCTTAAAATTGTTCCCGAAATTTGAAGAGCTTTAGGGCGTATTTTTTTCTGTTTTGATTCGGTCATTGACTCTTTTACAACTGTCTGTTGGCTAAGTTTTTATTTGTTCTATTTAGTGTTGGGCTTTTTATTTAGATTTATTTTGTTAATGCTGGGAACATTTGCACATCAGCCAGCTATTCATATTACTTTTGGAATTATTATTATTATTATAAAGGCTTTACAGCAAAAAGATAAAAGGATTTCTTCCCGCAGAATGGAATTAAACACCAATTAGAAAGTATTTTGTCTGCGGTTGTTGCAGAGGCAGAGAACTACCCAGGTGCTGGAACAATTTTTGTTGTACTTGGAATGTTAATGAATCCAGTAAAAATTAAGCAGTCTGTTTTTGAGACCATCGGGTGAAAGGAAACTGACGTGGTCATCGACCAGGTTTGACAAGCGGCATGCCCTGCACCAAAAGTTCTAGTTTTCTCTAGAGGGACTCTAGAGATATCGAATATTTTACCTCCTCTGACAGAGTTCGGCCAATCGAGCTGGTACCGGTCTGGTATAATCGTAGATAAGAGCAACAAATCGTTCATCTCGATATATAAGGATAGAAGGACAGTGGTAGCTGATAAGCTGGTCTTGACGCTCGGTGTAATAGAGCTCGTCGATGTCTGTTATCCGCCTTGGTATTTGTCTTGTCCGCAAACTATGATGCACGTTGTACGTTGCAAACCGCGTACTGTTATGGGCAGTACCATTTATTCGACTAGACAGTTTTTGCTGGGGGGCAAGTAGGTCGCATGACGATCGTTTGAACTTGTGCAGGACTGATAGTGACTTCCGAATTGTCTCGCTCATGTGGGTGCTCCAGGAACAGTTACTTGATATTGGAACACCAAGGTCTTTCTCGAGCAATACTTCACTTACTTCGAGTTCCCCTAATCTTGGCGGCAGTTGATCTGTTGTTCTTGGCAAATTTACGGACTTTTTGTATTCATAGCTAATTTTCCCCATTTTTGCTTGTTTTTACAAATTGTAGCTTCGCCTATGTCATGTGAAAATGAAAATCTTGAATAAATTGAAGAAAATTGTCGTTTCTTTTTCTCACACTGTGATTATAGGGGTCGGAAAATGGCCAGGAACTTTGTATTCCGATTATTGAAAATGGCCAGGAACTTTGTATTCGTGTTTTAGTTTATTTTTGTTTTCCACGCAAAATCAGGCACCACAAATAATCATCGGACTGGGTTGAGCGATAGATCATGTTAAAACCTGTTGAGTCGTTATTCAAACGACATCAAAAATTTTCAAAAAAAAATCCCAGTGTCGAGAAAAACAGGTTTGAAATGATTTTTCGTCGAGCGAGTAACATTCGTTTTGTATGAAAATAACAATGTAAGCTAAAAATTGATGATTTTTATAAAAGAAAGTATAGTTTTGGAAGCTTTATTTAGGGCATCTCTGGTTAAAAAAAAATCATCCGAAAATTAGTGTAAAAAATTGAAGAAAAAAAATTAATTAAGTAACTTTTGAAAAATTTGTTCATCTTAAATATTTCTTTTTTGAAGACAACTGTAGTCGTTAATGCTTAATTCACCAAATTTCTACCCACTTGTATAGTTCTATCATCACACGACGTACAGGAAAAGACATGAACTGGAAACAATATTTCTGAGAATGTGGTCGGAACATTTTTTGCTACTTGCACAGCCACCGGCTATCCCTGTTACTGATTGACTTGGGTTGATCAAGAAAGGAGTTATTTCCATATATAGTTTTAAGTAGTTTCAATATTTTAAAAGCTGTCTCGCGTTTTTAGCGTATTACGATGGCTTGTATATTGTTGATTGCTTAACGTTTGCTGTGTCTTTGTTTTGCTGAGTATTCGAATATATTGTTCGCAATTATACATTTAGTCGGAACAATTTGTTTTACAGGCACAGTTACCTGTTGTTAGTGTCGACGAATACTTTGCTTTGGCTGCTTGTATGTCAAATTTTGTTCTTACTCAGATGTTTGTGTTATAGGTCAGTGATGCCAACAAAGAAGCAATCTAAAAGCTCCAAGAGGTAAGCGTCTACTATGTCGACTATTTGTCCATTCGTTTGATAGATGGTTTTTGACTGTGTGATTATGACATCAGTTTGTTAATGGCGAACTTCCTTTCTCTCTTGAAACTTGACTTCTTCGTACCTTTCAATAGAATTTCAAAACAGACGGTGAACGGTTAGCAAAGATTTAAAAGAAGTTTCAAAAGAGTTGATTTTTTTATTTCAGACCGAAAACTTCCACTTCAAAGAGCAGACCCTCGGCCGGAGGAGACAGATCTGGAGGTGGTTCGGATCTTTACCCAACTGCCAGAGGGCTTGTTTCGAAATAAAATAATTTCACATTACTTCGACACCTTCAGTAACATGTGACCTAATGGTCCTTCATAGTTTCATAATAAATCGCGATTTGATTTGGTAAATAGTGAACTTTGAATATGTAAAAATTGTAAATATCAGCTGTAAATTGTACGTAAATGTTGATTCGTAAGTTAAGCAAAAAAAAACAAATTCTGTTCGTACCTCTAAAGTTCATGTTTTTATTGGCAAAAAATTTTGTGCTATCTTTTCAATATCATATTTTTCCGTTGTTACTGTCAGCAGTTTCACCAGATTGGGAAAAAGTCCTTGGAGTTGATAAAGTTTACTAATAGCTAATTAATGAATATACCACCCAAATAGAACATTGATATAAAATGATTCGATGACATAAAAGATTTAAAACACTGTAGTAGTTCATTATTAATTAGATTCCTCTTTTGCGTTCGAATTTGTTCATTCGTTAATAGAGTCCAACTTCTTCTAGAATCTTCTTAACGTCGACTTCGCCCGCTAGCAAATCGGCTTCGCACATCGCATCCAGGCATAATTTCCGACTGCTTTCTTGAACGTAACCACCAAGAATAAACTCGTCTAAGATGTGGTAGGCTTTTTCGAAGTTGAAAATGACGTCCAGCTCGCAAACATTTCCGAAATAAGCGTCGAGTAATTCAACATATCTGTGAATAATTTCCAGTACTAAGAGTTCATTGTCCTCGTTTTCGACAGCGACGCAGAATATCAAGCTGGCGTATCGTTTGTAGACTAGCTTCAAACCATTGCTCCATTCTACGACGTTTGACATACGAGGTTTCCTATTGCAGACGATGTAAGGAACATCTTTGAGAATTTTTCGCCGTTCCTTTTCACTATAAGCTTGGTACCAACGGTGTAATCTAATTTTGCCTTGTCGGCTGAAAAGTAAGAGAAAATTCATAGCGAGGTGATTTTTGCTCTAAAGCGGGCTTTACTAGAACTTGAACAGAGAAATAGTTCTTTTATTATAATTAAATCGAGTGAGGTAGCTTTTAAATGTCTGGGGAGTTTAATGAAGTTTAAAGAAAAGATAAAAGCATTGAATTGAATTAACATAGAAGTAAAAATGACGCGTAATTTAAATCTGACTAGTTTAATTTGAAATGCAGGAAATAAAATTTGAGCTCTGGTAAAAACGGATTGTAGGTACGTTATTTTTCAACGTATTTATTTTAACATCCCTTTTATTTTTTTATCATTTATGACTGATGTTGTTATCGTAAACAGCTTTTCGTGACTAGTGTACAGTAACTACGGCGGAGATAGAAGCAACGAACTTGTAGTTTTGTAAACAGAGTTCCTAGATGGTAACTTATCCTCTAAAAGTAGCATTGATTGCCCTTCTTTCTAATGAAGAATAAGACGTGAATAAAATGGGATGAAGGTACCGATTGATCAGGCTGCAAAAAATACTAATTGTGAACAAAAAAGGAAATGAAAGGATTAGAGAAGATATAAAAACCGACAAGCTGATCAAATCACACAAAATACAGGTATAATGCGGGTGCTAAGGTACATGCACTGGTATAGCAGTAGTCCCCTTACCTTAGCACTATGACATATAATAAATCAATACCCCCTCGTTTTATTAAAAAGAGTGGTTGTTTGAAGAACAAGAATATAAATGAAGGGGTCCAATAATTTGGGCTCTATTGAGTTGGCTGATTTGGGAAATGGCTGGGTTGGATTTTACCCCGAGACGAGAAGGAAGTGATCAATTAAGGATGAGTTGCTTCAACCAGAAGGTAATCACTTAATATGCTGAGTGAACCCCATTTCAACTGGCCTCAGGTCGGAGAAGGAAAGTAAATGGAGTTAAATGTCTAGTAATCCAATGAGATTTTCCGAAAAAACAACCTCCCTAATTTATGCAAAGCTTTGGTAATAAATTTATCCCAATTGACATCAAATACTGGTGACGTGTGAAAAGATTTCGGCCTTTTCTCTATTTTTGAAGGATGCAGTATCAAGTTAAGATTTAAAAACATCGCCACTTGTGTTGAAAATTGAGGGTGAATGATAAGCTACGCACACGATTAGATGTAGCTTCTATCTGTTTGCTGACGGAATCGTTGAAAAAACGTTGCTTAATGCTGTCCCATTTAATTTCGTTGTTGCCTAAGGCAGGAATAAAAATAGTACGGTTGCAAAGCTTAACAAATGGTATGTGTTGACGTGTATTTATGCATAAAATATTCGCTCAATACCTAAGCTGACTTGCCTGTTAGACGAAAATTTGTATAATTTACAATGGAAAACTGTAAAACTCAACAACAACCAATACTTAGGAGTAAATAACTTTTTGAGAGTCCGGAAACATTCATTTGGTGTTCCGACGAGGTACGCTTCAATGAGCAGAGAAGTTGAGCGTCTGATTTCTTGAAAGCTAATTTATCATTTGTAGGCTAAATTAGAGAGATAAAATCTTCGAAACTGGTTATTTGGAACTAATTTTTGCTGCGCGGATTCGACAATAAAATTAGAGGTCCCTGAAAACAGTTATCCGTGCCGTAAATTAGGGTTACTGGGAGATATTAGGTTGTTTTGAGAAATATAATACGGTTTTAAGCAATTCCTAGAAAGGCTTGATAGTATCTCTATCCAAAGTCAATGGACTAAATTTGGTTGATTTTCAGACTAGACAATGCGAAGATCTGTGATCAATTAGCACTCTTTATTTAATATTTATTGGCAAGTCCTAATCATAGTTGCCCACAATGAACGGGCATGCTTATGATCCTATTCAGGTGCAGCAGTTACCTCAAGTAAACCCCAGTAATAATGACCCTTCTATTGACATTGCTCATCTTCTCAACACGGAGATTCCCAAGTGTCAGGAAACGCTTCTTTCGAGTCACCAAAATTTAGACGTGTTGGCGACATATTGCGATGAGAAATACCAGGAGCTACCGAATAAAGGACAGGTCTTAGAGCAAACGAGAGAATATTGCACTCAAAGTCTAGCAAGTGTGGCATACCAGATAAACAATCTAGCCGGAAACTTCATAGCGGTTCTGGATCTTCAGTCTGCGCATTTGGAATCTTTGGAGTCGAGTTTGAAAAACATTAACTGCGCTGTGGATATTCACAGAGAAAAGGTCGCAAGGCGGGAAATTGGCAATATTACTTCAAATAAGTCGGTCGTGAATACCCAAGGAGCGAAGATCAGAAAACCGGCAACTGAGTTGTCTCCTTTAAAGTATTCAAGAAAACGAGTTGATTTGTCAGAATTGGATAATATAGGACATGGAATTTCACTCAAGCATGACGAACAGCCACTTGTTCAACGAAAGAGTTCAATCATGAACCAAAGTTTGATTCAAGATCAAAACTCAATGGGTGGGGGGAGTACACTTTCGCGCTCGTCAATTAATACAACGCATACTACAATTTCCTCTTCGTCAGGCTTCGGAACAATGTCTGGAACTGGGACACTACGCGGGAAACCAGTGTCTGTACCGGCTGCACCGACAGCACCGGAGTCGTACCAGCCGGGATCTCTGGCTATGAAGTCTCTTCAGAAGAAATCCGATATAAACGCGCCGAATATTGAATCTCTAGGTCTTCCGATATCGTATGAGGAGCGAAACGCTTACGACATGCAAAGAATGAATCGAAGCGAAACACAGCAAAGTGATACGAGTAGTGTTGCGTCAGGTGGCACAGGATCGGATTACAAATTTGCAGCCGAGGCTTTTGGTTACGGAGGTGGCGGCCATTCGGGTTCGAACCGGCTTGGAAGTGTGGGGAGTTCGGGTACTGGCGACTATCGTCTGAGAGGCGACGCGTTCCGATATACGTCAGAGAACCCAGCAGTTATGCAACAGAAGCTAGGAAGAAAACCTTCGCAGACCTCACAAGCTGTGACGCCCAATATTCCAGAAGATATGGAATACGTTGGAGGAGAGTTCAGACCGGTTATAAAAGAAGATCCGAATCCACAGGACTTCAGCCCGTATTCATACTCACAACAGAGACCTAATATTATGCGACCTCAAATGCAGTTGCCGCCTCATTTGGCGGGTAATAATCCCCAATTTCAACAGCAGAATCCTCAACAGCAGCAAAATCAGATGCAAAATGTGAACAGTGGCAGGATAAATCAACAATTTCAGCAGCAGCAACAACAACAACCACAAACACAGTATAATATGGGTCAAGGTCAAAACATGACATCGCAAGGTCACAGAGCTTCAGTTAATTCAAGCCATGCAGCGAGCTCGCCAATGTCACCGCCCATAATGCAACAAATGCATCAACAACAGCAAATGATGCAACAACAGCCACAGAAACAAGTGAAGATTATGCAACAGCCGCAAGTGACAAACTTGGCAGATATTTCGGCTAATTTGAACCAGAAGCAACATAACATGCCCCAGCATCAGAACCAGCAGCATCATCAGGCACAGCAACAACATCTTAGTCAGCAACATGGTTCGAATATTATGGATCCTCAAGTTGCGAATACAAGATACAACGCACCTCAGGCTCCCCCGAATTTGGACAAATGCGAGAAAGTTGTTGCTCTCTATGACTACACGGCAGAACAAAGCGATGAGTTGACCTTTGTCGAAGGTCAGATAATATTTGTGATGAAGAAAAATGACGACGGATGGTATGAGGGTCTGATGCCTCCGCACTACCATCGCGGATTGTTTCCTGGAAATTATGTGGAAACAGTACCGTCGAGATAAAACAAAAGCTCATAAAAGAAAACGAGAATTCTTACTTCCGATTTATATGGCATGACGATTGCTTCAGTCTTCATTGGTTGCTTAAAAACTGTATAAATTTCAATTTGTAATGCGGTTTTGGCATATTTTTTTAATCAAATTTTCACCTATGATCCTTAAATCTTGATGGCAGTTAATTGATTTATAGATACTTATAAATTAATGCCGGGCGTTGATAATATTTATAACAAAAATCTAATAGTTTCGTAGTTCGTCTATCTTTTCTCTTGTCGATGATGTTACGAGTTTGGAACTGTTTTGATGCAATAAACTGATTGGTTTGATAGTCACAGTGCCTCTTTCACTCCAATAAAGTAGTCTGTTTATTTTTATGGATTTAATCAATTCGCATTGTTTTTAAACATTTGTTGAAAGCACGGCGTTCTGCTAGAGCTTTTCAATTCAAATAAATCGTCTCGACAGTATTAAAAAAAAAATTCTGACGAAAACCAACCGAAATGATTGGTCATTTGAATGCAGATTTCGGGTATGTAGATAGTATTGAGTCGAGACAGTTCATGCCACTTTCTCCTGTTTTTTGATTGATGACAATGTCAATTGCCAGCATGAATTCAAATTTTATTTTCCCAGATTTTTCAAATGAAGAGGTTCGGGATATGCTCACCAGCGGATTTAGGGGGGGGGGGGGGTGGTAGCTTGGGCGGACGTCTCCCCCCTCTGCGATTTGACCCCCTGCCGACCCAATGGGTCCGCCAATTGAACTATTTTGATTTCTCCATTTTTGGTAGACGGACTCGAAATTTTTCTAAAGGCGTCTTCGGCGCCAAGGTATACTTATTGTGAGAGTGGAGTGTGCGCCGAAAAAACGCAAATCTTTTGGTCAAAATTTTCCAAAAAGTGTCAAAAACGCCTTTCTTGGCCTGTTTTTTTTTCTCAAAATTTCACCTGCGGCGCAAAAAATTTGGTCAAAATAAGGTCTGTATAGTGATTGTGAGAGCTCTGAAAATCAGTTTGGTCGACCTAAAAAAAGGTCGTCAATTTTTTTTTTGAAAATCCGCCCACCTCGAAAAAACCCTAGATGCGCCCCTAGATATGCCGATGAGTGAAAATTGAAAAATAAAAGTATCATTAACTTATCCAAATATTAGATTTTCTTGAAAAAAGTGATGATTTTTAACTATTGTTGAAGTTTCAATTTTTCAACTCCTAATGTACAGATAAAATTTCAACACTGCTAAAATATAGCATAAAATCTTTTACTAAGTCTCTGTCTTTTTTGAGCTTGAATGAAGGTTCAGTTATTTAACTATTGTCAGTTGCTACTTATCATCCCGTCGAAAATGACAAATTATACTAATGCCTCAAAAGAAATCTATACTTAATGCTATTTTTAGATGTTATATATGGTGCCATGGGTTAGCCGTAAATGAGTCGCAAGTTCCCCAGCATCGACTTTGCAAACCCCTCCCCCAGGCGTGACAGACCGGGTACAGTTCCTCTTGTGAAGAACAATGGCACCCCGAGTCAGTCGGCGAACTACCCTCACTTCGTGCCTGAAGCCCACGACCGACTCGGTTCGACGAGTAGCACTTCTTCGGCTATGGAATTTACAAACAGTGGACATCACCCCCATCACGTGTCTTTTCGAATCCCGACAAGCAACTCAGCAAACGCGATTTCGTCTCAAGAAGCATTGAAATGCTCGGTGCTGCGCTCGTCGTCGGCAGCCTCGGAGAAATTTCTGAAGCAACTTCAAGCAAAGTCTGAAGTTGAGTTAAGAAATCACCGTTCTAATCAGTCTTCGAATTCTAACATTCAAAGAATTAAATCAAAAAGTATGGATGAAATTGGAATATTGAAGATTTCCAACACTGAAATTTACGATTTTGGCGTTAAAGATCTGAAAGATCTCGGCCAAATTGGAGCTGGATCTTTTGGCACCGTGAACAAAATGCAGCATGTGAAAAGTCGCGCACTGATGGCGGTGAAAATAATCCGAGTTTCGATGAACGAAGAGGAACAGTGTAAAGTTATCATGGATTTGGGCGTGATCAGAAAAGCGTCTTACAGACACATTGTAACATTTCACGGAGCCTTGTTTCACGAGGGAGATTGCTGGATTTGTATGGAGTTGATGGACCTTTCAGCTGAGCTGCTTTACCGTTATGTACACCACTCTATTAATGACATAATTCCCGAGGCAATTCTAGCACAAGTAGCTTTGGCGACTGTACGGGCTTTGATGTATCTGAAAAATGAGTTGAAGATAATCCACAGAGACGTGAAGCCTAGCAATATCCTTATTAATAAACACGGTGCTATAAAGCTCTGTGACTTCGGAATTAGCGGAGTGTTAGTGGACTCCATAGCCAGGACCCATGATGTAGGTTGCAGACCATATATGGCCCCTGAACGTATCGACCCACGAGAAAAAGATGGATACGATATCAGATCGGATGTATGGTCCATGGGTATATCCATGATTGAAATTTCGACAGGTTCATTTCCATATAGGTCTTGGAACAGTGTATTTGACCAATTACAGGAGGTAGTGACAGGAAACCCTCCGAAGCTACAAGACATGCCCCCCAAAATCACTTTCACAGCCAATTTTCACCGCTTCATTGATAGTTGCTTGAAGAAGGAGAGGAAGGAGAGGCCAAAGTACAGTGGACTGCTGAAGTCTTCGTTTCTGGAGAAAGCTACACACGATGACATAACAGATGTCCAGGGTTGGATGGAGCGGATTTTGGAAAAGACAAGTGAAATACCTCTGCCTCAACCGAACAGATAGCCTTTTTTAGAATCAACTCAAATTTGCACATTGAAGAAGTGTACTTTAGGATCAGCTTAATCAGTCTTAACCGTTCCCCTTATTTTGAAATCCATTTAAAAAGAATTTCACACGAAGGATGAAATTAGTCTTTTTGTGCATAACATCTCAAACAAATCGATCCAAATTTCAAGATCTCGCACGATTTTGACCGTAATTCAATTAAAAATTGTTTTTTTTTTGTTTAGGGGAAGGGTTAGAAAGATTGTTAAGTAGATCTTTTAATCTTAACTTTACCCTAGAGTAGGATCTGAGTTCTATGGAAAAAGTATGCGTTCTGTTTCTACAAATGAAAAAATTGAGTTCTGAAAGAGTTAAAAATTTGCGTGATTTACTTTTTTTTATTAATTAGATATAATATGTGATCATATTTATTTAATGAATAAACCCCGTTTTCTATTCAATTAATTTTGTCTTTTAATGGTAAATGATGATAAATGACGATTAAATTGCTTTGTGTTTGCCTGCATAACGATATCAAAATCTTATTCTTCTAATTGTCTTCTTCGTTGAGAGAACAGTCGACCTAAAAAGAATGGATTTTTCCCATTTTGAGCCAACAAATAGAAAAAAGCTAATGAGCTAGCTGTTTCAAAAGTGAAGAGATATGCTGTTTTTTCCGCTCTCAAAGGAGTTGGATGAAATGATGGACTGATCTGTGCTTTTTTCAAGCAAAAGTAGGCACCTCAAAGACCACTCTGAAGGCGTAGAGTGTGATGTCATAATAAATACTGTTCAGTCGCGATAAAGATGTCAAAATTATTTCAGTGACGAAAAAAATGATCTGAGCTTTTTCATTCAGCATGGAAGTGGATGGATGAAATCTTTTTTATCGAGTCGGCCTGGCTCTAAATCATGGACGCTAGATGTAGCGGATTTAAGGAAAGGCGGACGCCCCCCACCTCAGGGATTCGACCCCCTGCGGACCCAAAGGGCCGTCTTTTGTACTATTTTGAGATATCCAATTTTGGCTGATTGACCCTAAAATTTTTGTAAAGGCGCCAATATATATTAATGATTTGAGTAACAATTTTCAACAAGTGCCGAAAAATGCTTTTTTGGCCTGTTTTTTTTTCAAAAACTTGCTTTCGGCGCAGAAAGTTTGGTCGAAATAGGGTCGGTATAATGTTTTGGGAGAGATCAGAAAATCAATTTGGTCGACCTAAAAAAAAGTACACCCCTTCGAGAAAATCCTAGATCCGCCTTTGGTCGCAAACATGATCAAAACTTTTGAAAATGACTAATTTAGAAATAAGCGCAATTGCGGTTGTACTTAACCTTTGTTCGCTTTGTAGAATATTGATTTTTGAAATTTTCATTGCAGCCGAGTTTTATGCTAGTCGGTGCTAGCCATTAATACTTTAAACTAAAGCTGCTTAATTATGTTGAGGGGAATGGGCAATGAACAATAAGCCGTATCAAATTAAATCACTCGACCTGAAAGCTTAATTTAGCTGATAATTGGTAACTGGAAAGGCAGAATATTTTTTTGCCATTAATTTTGGTAACATCGAGTGGTATTTCTTAATTTTAATTGAGCAATAAGCTTCTATTTTCACTTTACCTTTTCTATTTCCTGATTTCAAATTTCATCTTTTTCCTGATTTCAGTTTTTTGTTGGTGAATGGGTAAGGAAAAACGCGACCGCTCGAATAGCATAAAATACCAATATATTTTCCCTGGCGATAAACAAGGATGTTTCAACCGGGTACTAGACTTTTTCCCTACTACTAGATTTTGATGACATGATTGAAATTTCAGTGATTTTCAAAACTGTACTTTCGTCAACTAACAGGCGACTTTTTGAGCATATCTGTGTCTGCATTTTGAATGCCCGCTCTATTCGAAGTTTTTTTTATGCTGGTTGTAAATTTAACAACTCCGATTTCATCATATATTTTTTTGTTTTTGTTTCTTTTTATTTGGCTTTAAAAGTTTCGGATTATATTTTATCGGCTAAGCGGCCTTATTTTGAGAAATTTCATTAAAAAAATTTGTGTTATGTAATAGTTTTGTTTTTGTGGTTTTAAGTTCAAAACATGTTGTTTTTCCAGCTCAACTTATGTCTGCTCAAGAGTTGTGGGCTTTATTACCACTTTGTTAGTTTGGCTTCGATTATTGATTTAGCTGTCAATTGTTTTGCTTGGCTTAATTTGTTTTGTTCTATATTATATCTGCTTTCTGGCCGCATTTTGCGCCGTTTGAAGATTGGGAGAGTTTTTCATGTGCGATTGGGTGTGTTTTGAGGGGGAGGGGACTTCGAAACGTTTTATCAAGTTATGAATCTTTTGGAATTATTTCGGCTCCTGAGCTTTCAGCTCAGGTGTTTTCGGCGTTGTGGCTGATGCTTTTCTTGCGATGCAAGTTTTATATTCTGTTGTCTTGGCATGTTTTATGTTTTTTTTCCTTCAAAATTAAAGCTTTTCTTTTTGATAGATCTAGTTTTTTCGACAGTGTTGATTTTTTATTTCATATTTTTTGACTTGCGGCTTTCTTTGATTGTATCGCATATCTGCGAAGCTCTGTTTCGCATCAGTGTAAGTTTTGTCATTTAGCTCAACTGTGGTTGGTTATTACTCAGAAATATAAATAATTAAAATCCATTTAATTATTTTTTTATAGACAAGTGTAAATTTAACAACAAGCCTAGCATGATTATATATAAAACAGGGAAAACAGGAAATAATATTTTTTTTTACGATCATTTTCCAATTCTGACTAATTGGTCCGAGTAATTAAAGTTTTGGGGGCAACTCTTTGTTCGAATGTATTTTACTGTACTAAACAAGCGACTTCGCGAGCATCGTGTTATATGACAAGCTAACTTTTTTCCCAATCCAATTTGTGGAAAAAAAAGAGTTCTGTTTTTGACAAGGCTTATGCTGCACGGTATTAGCAGTTAAATAACACGTGTTTTCCGCTTAATCAGTGGCTAGTGTTTCGGTAATTTAAACGTCAGTAGCACAGCTGTGCAGGGCAGGATACCTGGTTGCTCGAGCATTGTTGTGCCATTCGCGTAAAGGGTATTTTATTTGTTTTAAAAAAAATTGTTTTCTCGTCGTTTTCTTCTTCACTTTCTGAAAGCTTTTTCTTGGCGTTTTGTCTGCGGTGTGAAGCTTCGACTCAGTGTCCGTACCTTTTCCTCACAAAGTCAGGCACTATAAATTAACTTTAACTTGGTGGAGTGATGTATCATATTGTAGCTATTTTAGTCGTAATTTCGATGAAAAAAGTCCAGAAAAACCTAATTCGAACGTTTTTTTTTGTCGTAGTAAGAGCAAGTAAACCCAGCAGAATTTTAAAAAACTGTTGAAACAACGAAGTTTTAGCTGGAAAAGAATTTTTGGAATCTTCAGCTAGCGCTCCCAGGCATCAAAAACTCAACGATTTCTAGTAAAACTTGGAAAAAAAGGCTGTTTTGAATATTAATGAGAATTTTTTGTTTCCATTTTTCAATTCCTAGTTACCTTTGCGAGAAGCAAGAGTATTGCAATTGGGTACTAGGTTTTTTGCCCGTAAATAACTTTGTTCACAGATTGGTCAAATTTAGAAATGAGCTCAGTTCATAATGAATTTCAATTTCTTTGTGTCGCCGGCACACTTGGTCTGGAGATAACGAATGCGCCTGGAATGGAAAAGGTCCTGGATTCGAATCTGACAGGACCTTTTTTCAAAAGAGAAATAATCCGTTTCAAAAAAAATGCCGGCTTTTTTTTTGTCTGCTTAATGTTTTGTAGACTTAGTTGCCATATTGTACAATATTTTTTTCTAAGTTTATGCATTATAAATGCTTTTTATGTTCTGATTTACCTCTGCTGATTGTAATTTAAAGCTTGGTTTCGAATGTTTTCTTAATTTTTTTTGCTTCAAAATTTTGTTCTGCCTGAATGATTTCGGCCTATTTTTGATCGACTTAGTGACGTAATTTCGAGTAGTTTCAATGGAAACATAATTTTGTGCTCACCTCTAAATGACATAAAATGCTAAACATCTTAAAAGAAAATATAGATCACGCTTTTCATGACAACATTTTTTTCCGGTTTTTGTTCTGATTTTTTCCTTTTTTCTGCTCGATAGGTTTTGGTCTATATTATTTCGGCCTTTTGGCCTCCTATGGCTTCTTTTCACAAGCAAAAAAGGTTGTGTGTTTGTCTCTGTGTTATGAGGAGAAGCGGAGCAGACCTCCTTGTGAGGAATCAGAAACAAATTTTGCCAGGAAAGAGTTTGTGTGCTTGTCTCTGTGTTATGAGTGTGAGGGGTTTTAATGTCCTCTTATTAGTCTTAACAGTGTAAAGTTATCATGGATTTGGGCGTGATCAGAAAAGCGTCTTACAGACACATTGTAACATTTCACGGAGCCTTGTTTCACGAGGGAGATTGCTGGATTTGTATGGAGTTGATGGACCTTTCAGCTGAGCTGCTTTACCGTTATGTACACCACTCTATTAATGACATAATTCCCGAGGCAATTCTAGCACAAGTAGCTTTGGCGACTGTACGGGCTTTGATGTATCTGAAAAATGAGTTGAAGATAATCCACAGAGACGTGAAGCCTAGCAATATCCTTATTAATAAACACGGTGCTATAAAGCTCTGTGACTTCGGAATTAGCGGAGTGTTAGTGGACTCCATAGCCAGGACCCATGATGTAGGTTGCAGACCATATATGGCCCCTGAACGTATCGACCCACGAGAAAAAGATGGATACGATATCAGATCGGATGTATGGTCCATGGGTATATCCATGATTGAAATTTCGACAGGTTCATTTCCATATAGGTCTTGGAACAGTGTATTTGACCAATTACAGGAGGTAGTGACAGGAAACCCTCCGAAGCTACAAGACATGCCCCCCAAAATCACTTTCACAGCCAATTTTCACCGCTTCATTGATAGTTGCTTGAAGAAGGAGAGGAAGGAGAGGCCAAAGTACAGTGGACTGCTGAAGTCTTCGTTTCTGGAGAAAGCTACACACGATGACATAACAGATGTCCAGGGTTGGATGGAGCGGATTTTGGAAAAGACAAGTGAAATACCTCTGCCTCAACCGAACAGATAGCCTTTTTTAGAATCAACTCAAATTTGCACATTGAAGAAGTGTACTTTAGGATCAGCTTAATCAGTCTTAACCGTTCCCCTTATTTTGAAATCCATTTAAAAAGAATTTCACAAGAAGGATGAAATTAGTCTTTTTGTGCATAACATCTCAAACAAATCGATCCAAATTTCAAGATCTCGCACGATTTTGACCGTAATTCAATTAAAAATTGTTTTTTTTTTGTTTAGGGGAAGGGTTAGAAAGATTGTTAAGTAGATCTTTTAATCTTAACTTTACCCTAGAGTAGGATCTGAGTTCTATGGAAAAAGTATGCGTTCTGTTTCTACAAATGAAAAAATTGAGTTCTGAAAGAGTTAAAAATTTGCGTGATTTACTTTTTTTTATTAATTAGATATAATATGTGATCATATTTATTTAATGAATAAACCCCGTTTTCTATTCAATTAATTTTGTCTTTTAATGGTAAATGATGATAAATGACGATTAAATTGCTTTGTGTTTGCCTGCATAACGATATCAAAATCTTATTCTTCTAATTGTCTTCTTCGTTGAGAGAACAGTCGACCTAAAAAGAATGGATTTTTCCCATTTTGAGCCAACAAATAGAAAAAAGCTAATGAGCTAGCTGTTTCAAAAGTGAAGAGATATGCTGTTTTTTCCGCTCTCAAAGGAGTTGGATGAAATGATGGACTGATCTGTGCTTTTTTCAAGCAAAAGTAGGCACCTCAAAGACCACTCTGAAGGCGTAGAGTGTGATGTCATAATAAATACTGTTCAGTCGCGATAAAGATGTCAAAATTATTTCAGTGACGAAAAAAATGATCTGAGCTTTTTCATTCAGCATGGAAGTGGATGGATGAAATCTTTTTTATCGAGTCGGCCTGGCTCTAAATCATGGACGCTAGATGTAGCGGATTTAAGGAAAGGCGGACGCCCCCCACCTCAGGGATTCGACCCCCTGCGGACCCAAAGGGCCGTCTTTTGTACTATTTTGAGATATCCAATTTTGGCTGATTGACCCTAAAATTTTTGTAAAGGCGCCAATATATATTAATGATTTGAGTAACAATTTTCAACAAGTGCCGAAAAATGCTTTTTTGGCCTGTTTTTTTTTCAAAAACTTGCTTTCGGCGCAGAAAGTTTGGTCGAAATAGGGTCGGTATAATGTTTTGGGAGAGATCAGAAAATCAATTTGGTCGACCTAAAAAAAAGTACACCCCTTCGAGAAAATCCTAGATCCGCCTTTGGTCGCAAACATGATCAAAACTTTTGAAAATGACTAATTTAGAAATAAGCGCAATTGCGGTTGTACTTAACCTTTGTTCGCTTTGTAGAATATTGATTTTTGAAATTTTCATTGCAGCCGAGTTTTATGCTAGTCGGTGCTAGCCATTAATACTTTAAACTAAAGCTGCTTAATTATGTTGAGGGGAATGGGCAATGAACAATAAGCCGTATCAAATTAAATCACTCGACCTGAAAGCTTAATTTAGCTGATAATTGGTAACTGGAAAGGCAGAATATTTTTTTGCCATTAATTTTGGTAACATCGAGTGGTATTTCTTAATTTTAATTGAGCAATAAGCTTCTATTTTCACTTTACCTTTTCTATTTCCTGATTTCAAATTTCATCTTTTTCCTGATTTCAGTTTTTTGTTGGTGAATGGGTAAGGAAAAACGCGACCGCTCGAATAGCATAAAATACCAATATATTTTCCCTGGCGATAAACAAGGATGTTTCAACCGGGTACTAGACTTTTTCCCTACTACTAGATTTTGATGACATGATTGAAATTTCAGTGATTTTCAAAACTGTACTTTCGTCAACTAACAGGCGACTTTTTGAGCATATCTGTGTCTGCATTTTGAATGCCCGCTCTATTCGAAGTTTTTTTTATGCTGGTTGTAAATTTAACAACTCCGATTTCATCATATATTTTTTTGTTTTTGTTTCTTTTTATTTGGCTTTAAAAGTTTCGGATTATATTTTATCGGCTAAGCGGCCTTATTTTGAGAAATTTCATTAAAAAAATTTGTGTTATGTAATAGTTTTGTTTTTGTGGTTTTAAGTTCAAAACATGTTGTTTTTCCAGCTCAACTTATGTCTGCTCAAGAGTTGTGGGCTTTATTACCACTTTGTTAGTTTGGCTTCGATTATTGATTTAGCTGTCAATTGTTTTGCTTGGCTTAATTTGTTTTGTTCTATATTATATCTGCTTTCTGGCCGCATTTTGCGCCGTTTGAAGATTGGGAGAGTTTTTCATGTGCGATTGGGTGTGTTTCGAGGGGGAGGGGACTTCGAAACGTTTTATCAAGTTATGAATCTTTTGGAATTATTTCGGCTCCTGAGCTTTCAGCTCAGGTGTTTTCGGCGTTGTGGCTGATGCTTTTCTTGCGATGCAAGTTTTATATTCTGTTGTCTTGGCATGTTTTATGTTTTTTTTCCTTCAAAATTAAAGCTTTTCTTTTTGATAGATCTAGTTTTTTCGACAGTGTTGATTTTTTATTTCATATTTTTTGACTTGCGGCTTTCTTTGATTGTATCGCATATCTGCGAAGCTCTGTTTCGCATCAGTGTAAGTTTTGTCATTTAGCTCAACTGTGGTTGGTTATTACTCAGAAATATAAATAATTAAAATCCATTTAATTATTTTTTTATAGACAAGTGTAAATTTAACAACAAGCCTAGCATGATTATATATAAAACAGGGAAAACAGGAAATAATATTTTTTTTTTACGATCATTTTCCAATTCTGACTAATTGGTCCGAGTAATTAAAGTTTTGGGGGCAACTCTTTGTTCGAATGTATTTTACTGTACTAAACAAGCGACTTCGCGAGCATCGTGTTATATGACAAGCTAACTTTTTTCCCAATCCAATTTGTGGAAAAAAAAGAGTTCTGTTTTTGACAAGGCTTATGCTGCACGGTATTAGCAGTTAAATAACACGTGTTTTCCGCTTAATCAGTGGCTAGTGTTTCGGTAATTTAAACGTCAGTAGCACAGCTGTGCAGGGCAGGATACCTGGTTGCTCGAGCATTGTTGTGCCATTCGCGTAAAGGGTATTTTATTTGTTTTAAAAAAAATTGTTTTCTCGTCGTTTTCTTCTTCACTTTCTGAAAGCTTTTTCTTGGCGTTTTGTCCGCGGTGTGAAGCTTCGACTCAGTGTCCGTACCTTTTCCTCACAAAGTCAGGCACTATAAATTAACTTTAACTTGGTGGAGTGATGTATCATATTGTAGCTATTTTAGTCGTAATTTCGATGAAAAAAGTCCAGAAAAACCTAATTCGAACGTTTTTTTTTGTCGTAGTAAGAGCAAGTAAACTGTTGAAAAAACGAAGTTTTAGCTGGAAAAGAATTTTTGGAATCTTCAGCTAGCGCTCCCAGGCATCAAAAACTCAACGATTTCTAGTAAAACTTGGAAAAAAAGGCTGTTTTGAATATTAATGAGAATTTTTTGTTTCCATTTTTCAATTCCTAGTTACCTTTGCGAGAAGCAAGAGTATTGCAATTGGGTACTAGGTTTTTTGCCCGTAAATAACTTTGTTCACAGATTGGTCAAATTTAGAAATGAGCTCAGTTCATAATGAATTTCAATTTCTTTGTGTCGCCGGCACACTTGGTCTGGAGATAACGAATGCGCCTGGAATGGAAAAGGTCCTGGATTCGAATCTGACAGGACCTTTTTTCAAAAGAGAAATAATCCGTTTCAAAAAAAATGCCGGCTTTTTTTTTGTCTGCTTAATGTTTTGTAGACTTAGTTGCCATATTGTACAATATTTTTTTCTAAGTTTATGCATTATAAATGCTTTTTATGTTCTGATTTACCTCTGCTGATTGTAATTTAAAGCTTGGTTTCGAATGTTTTCTTAATTTTTTTTGCTTCAAAATTTTGTTCTGCCTGAATGATTTCGGCCTATTTTTGATCGACTTAGTGACGTAATTTCGAGTAGTTTCAATGGAAACATAATTTTGTGCTCACCTCTAAATGACATAAAATGCTAAACATCTTAAAAGAAAATATAGATCACGCTTTTCATGACAACATTTTTTTCCGGTTTTTGTTCTGATTTTTTCCTTTTTTCTGCTCGATAGGTTTTGGTCTATATTATTTCGGCCTTTTGGCCTCCTATGGCTTCTTTTCACAAGCAAAAAAGGTTGTGTGTTTGTCTCTGTGTTATGACGAGAAGCGGAGCAGACCTCCTTGTGAGGAATCAGAAACAAATTTTGCCAGGAAAGAGTTTGTGTGCTTGTCTCTGTGTTATGAGTGTGAGGGGTTTTAATGTCCTCTTATTAGTCTTATTATCATAATTTTTTTGGCTTTTTTTAAATTTGCTTTTTGGGCTTACAGGTTTCGGCCTATATTATAGCGGCTTTGTGGCCGCATATTGTTTCATTTGACGAGCAAAAGTTTTCTTGAGTGTTTGTGTGTTTTGAGGGTTAGGGGGGTTTATCAAGTTTTCGTAAGTCTAAGCCTTGTTCATTCGGTTTCCGGCTTAAAGGATTTCTTCCAAGGTATTTTCGGCTTTGTTGCAGCTGATAAATTATCTTTCGATGCCAATTTCATATTCTATTGTCCTGGCTTGTTTTTGTTTCATAACTAGCCTTATTCGTTTTGATAGATCTAGTTTTTTGGAAATTTTTAAATTTTAATTCTTGTGTTGTATCGCAAATGGTGCGAAGCTCAGATCCGCTGTTAATTTTTACCAATTAAAGGCCTTCTTTTATCGCAAGTGTCTAAGTGCCATATGTACAAGAGAACCACACAAATTTCAGTTTTTCCCCAAAATAGTCAGTAAGCTTCATTGCTACTTGCTCTGCAAGCGCCAATTCTTTTTCAGTTGTGTTTTTTCCTTTTCAGTTCTGTGTTCGGTTCAATTTTATTTATTGAAATTTGTATGTTAGTCGAGTGGTATGCTCGTCGATACTAGCCATTTTTAAATTAGAGCTAAAAGCTGCCTGATTACGCTAAGGGATATAGACTCCTAGGGGAATGGTCAAAGAACAATCAGCCGTATCAAATTAAATCCCTCTATCTGAAAGGTTATTTTAACTGAAAGTTGTGAGCTCGATGAGTTAAATACTTTTTTGTCAGGAAAGTGTTTGGAATTTTGTGAGAAGAAGCGGAGGAGACCTCCTTGTGAGGAATCAGAAACAAATTTCGCCAGGAAAGAGTTTGTGTGCTTGTCTCTGTGTTATGAGTGTGAGGGGACTTTGTCTTCTTATTAGTCTTATTATCATAATTTTATGGCTTTTTTCAGTTTCCTTTTTTGGGCTTACAGGTTTCAGCCTATATTACAGCGGCTTTGTGGCCGCATATTGTTTCATTTGACGAGCAAAAGTTTTATTGAGTGTTTGTGTGTTTTGAGGGTGAGGGGGATTCATCAAGTTTTCGTAAGTCTAAGCCTTGTTCATTCGGTTTCCGGCTTAAAGGATTTCTTCCAAGGTATTTTCGGCTTTGTTGCAGCTGATAAATTATCTTTCGTTGCCAATTTCTTATTCTATTATCTTAGCATGTTTTTGTTTCATAACTAGCTTTATTCATTTTGATAGATCTAGTTTTTTGGAAATTTTTAAATTTTAATTCTTGTGTTGTATCGAAAATGGTGCGAAGCTCAGATCCGCTCTGTTAATTTTTTTACCAATTACAGGCATTCTTTTATCGCAAGTGTCTAAGTGCCATATGTACAAGAGAACCACACAAATTTCAGTTTTTCCCCAAAATAGGTAGTAAGCTTCTATGCTACTTGCTCTGCAAGCGCCAGTTCTTTTTCAGTTGTGTTTTTTCATTTTCATTTCTGTGTTCGGTTCAATTTTTTTTATTGAAATTCGTATGCTAGTCGAGTGGTATGCTCGTCGGTACTAGCCATTTATAAATTAGAGCTAAAAGCTGCCTGATTACGCTAAGGGATATAGACTACTAGGGGAATGGTCAAAGAACAATACTTTTTTTTGTCAGGAAGGGATATAGACTCCTAGGGGAATGGTCAAAGAACAAGACTTTTTCTAAGGCTAAATACTTTTTTGTCAGAAAAGTGTTTGGAGTTTTGTGCGACTGGTTGCATCGAGTGCTCTTTTCTAATTTTTATGCTTCGTTTTTACTCAGAAATATAAATAATTTAAAATCCATTTAATTATTTTTTTATAGACAAGTGTAAATTTAACAAAAAGCCTAGCATGATTATATATAAAACAGGGAAAACAGGAAATAATATTTTGTTTTTTTTTTTACTATCATTTTCCAATTCTGACTAATTGGTCCGAGTAATTAAAGTTTTGGGGGCAACTCTTTGTTCGAATGTATTTTACTGTACTAAACAAGCGACTTCGCGAGCATCGTGTTATATGACAAGCTAACTTTTTTCCCAATCCAATTTGTGAAAAAAAAGAGTTCTGTTTTTGACAAGGCTTATGCTGCACGGTATTAGCAGTTAAATAACACGTGTTTTCCGCTTAATCAGTGGCTAGTGTTTCGGTAATTTAAACGTCAGTAGCACAGCTGTGCAGGGCAGGATACGGTAATTTAATGGCTAGTGTTTCGGTAATTTAAACGTCAGTAGCAAAGCTGTGCTGTGCAGGGCAGCTCGAGCATTGTTGTGTCATTCGCGTAAAGGGTGTTTGTTTTAAAAAAGTTGTTTTCTCGTCGTTTTCTTCTTTTTCTCAAAGCTTTTTCGTGGCATTTTGTCTGCGGTGTGAAGCTTCGACTCTGTGTCCGTACCTTTTACTCACAAAGTCAGGCACTATAAATTAACTTTAACTTGGTGGAGTGATGTATCATATTGTAGCTATTTTAGTCGTAATTTCGATTAAAAAAAAGTCCAGAAAAACCTAATTCAAACTTTTTTTTGTCGTAATAAGAGCTAGTAAACCCAGCAGAGTTTTAAAAAACTGCTGAAACTGTTGAAAAAACTAAGTTTTAGCTGTAAACGAATTTTTGGACGCTTCAGTTAGCGCTCTCCGGCATCAAAAACTCAACGATTGCTAGTAAAACTTGGAAAAAAAGCTGTTTTGAAGATTAATGAGTAATTTTTGTTTCCATTTTTCAATTCCTAGTTACCTTTGCGAGAAGCAAGGGTATTGCAATTGGGTACTAGACTTTTTTGCCCGTAAATAACTTTGTTCAGAGATTGGTCAAATTTAGAAATGAGCTCAGTTCATAATGAATTTCAATTTCTTTGCGTCGCCGGCACACTTGGTCTGGAGATAACGAATGGGCCTGGAATGGCAAAAGTCCTGGATTCGAATCTGACAGGACCTTTTTTCAAACGGGAAATAATCCGTTTCAAAAAAATTGCCGGCTTATTATTTTCTGCTTAATGTTTTGCAGACTTAGTTGCCATATTAAACAATATTTTTTTTATTAAGTTTATTCATTATAAATGATTTTTATGTTCTGATTTACCTCTGCTGATTGTAATTTAAAGCTTGGTTTCGATTTTTTTCTTAATTGTTTTCGCTTCAAAATTTTGTTCTGCCTGAATGATTTCGGCCTATTTTTGATCGACTTAGTGACGAAATTTCGAGTAGTTTCAATGGAAACATAATTTTGTGCTCACCTCTAGATGACATAAAATGTGAAGCATCTTAATAGTAAATATAGAGCAAGCTTTTCATGACAACTTTTTTTTTCCGGTTTTTGTTCTGAATTTTTCCTTTTTTTCTGCTCGATAGGTTTTGGCCTATATTATTTCGGCCTTTTGGCCTCCTATGGCTTCTTTTCACGAGCAAAAAAGTTTGTGTGCTTGTCTCTGTGTTGTGAGGAGAAGCGGAGCAGACCTCCTTGTGAGGAATCAGAAACAAATTTCGCCAGGAAAGAGTTTGTGGCCGCATATTGTTTCATTTGACGAGCAAAAGTTTTATTGAGTGTTTGTGTTTTGAGGGTGAGGGGGATTTATCAAGTTTTCGTAAGTCTAAGCCTTGTTCATTCGATTTCCGGCTTAAAGGATTTCTGCCAAGGTATTTTCGGCTTTGTTGCAGCTGATAAATTATCTTTCGATGCCAATTTCATATTCTATTGTCTTGGCTTGTTTTTGTTTCATAACTAGCCTTATCATTTTGATAGATCCAGTTTTTTGGAAATTTTTTAATTTTAGTTCTTGTGTTGTATCGAAAATGGTGCGAAGCTCAGATCCGCTCTGTTAATTTTTTTTACCAATTACAGGCATTCTTTTATCGCAAGTGTCTAAGTGCCATATGTACAAGAGAACCACACAAATTTCAGTTTTTCCCCAAAATAGGTAGTAAGCTTCTATGCTACTTGCTCTGCAAGCGCCAGTTCTTTTTCAGTTGTGTTTTTTCATTTTCAGTTCTGTGTTCGGTTCAATTTTATTTATTGAAATTTGTATGCTAGTCGAGTGGTATGCTCGTCGATACTAGCCATTTATAAATTAGAGCTAAAAGCTGCCTGATTACGCTAAGGGATATAGACTCCTAGGGGAATGGTCAAAGAACAATTAGCCGTATCAAATTAAATCCCTCTATCGGTTATTTTAACTGAAAGTTGGGAGCTCGATGGGCTAAATACTTTTTTGTCAGGAAAGTGTTTGGAATTTTGTGCGACTGGTTGCATCGAGTGCTCTTTTGTAATTTTTATGCTTCGTGAGAGCGGAATAAAATAATTTATTGTAAACATGTTTTCATATATGCTGGTCGAAGTTTTACGTAACCTTAAGCCAGGCCGTTAAAAGCAAAATAATTTTTTTCAGTTCGAAGGATGCTGATATGATTATATTGTCGTGTTGTTTTGTTTGACTGGCATATTGACTGGAAATGCCCATTAGTGATTACCTGTCGCAGGAGAAGCGGAGCAGACCTCCTTGTGAGGGAATCAGAAACAAATTGAAGGACTGTCTCATGTTTTCAGACTGTTACACCAGGGTAAATTTACAAAGTAACAGTAATATACTAGAATTAATGATGATGTTGGTTTTATTGGATAATCAAAAAACCATCTTTAATTATAGCAAAAGAGTTAAATGATGAATTGAGATAAATATGCCTCAAAGTATCGCAATAAGCAATAGGTTTTGAAAATTATAGGTTACAGTTAGGAACATAAAATCTTCGCTTTAAACAATTTCGAAGTTAAATCCTGATTTTCAGCTGAATTTTTGATGAAAGTTTTATATGTTTATAACGAAACGTTGCCCATTGACAACAATTGCACATCGACTGTGCTATAATATTCAGTTAACACAAAAGAAGTTTCGCAGAAAAGCCGGTTGACAAACGATACTAATTTACTAATGAAAACTAACTTTGTTTCGACCACTGAGAGTAGAGAGGGACTTAGGTTTCGGAAGTGTTCAAATATTGACAAAAATCCGTTTTATTTTCCATGCAAAATAAGGTCCACAAACAAATTTCAGATGAGGTTGAGTGTTATATCATATGAATGGGAATTTCAATTGACATTACATAAATCCAAAAATTATCATTATCGTAGTGTCTAGAGAAACTGGTTTTAGTTCAATTTTAACATGCAAGAGCGTAAAAAGATATATCAAGCGATGAACATGAACTTAAATTAAAATCAGTTTTTAAAGCTTGAATTAGCGCTTTCCCAGCTCAAAGTTGGAACAAAAAACATGTTTTAATTTTCTTAGGAGCAATGTTTGATTTCGTTCTTTTTATTACACTTACGAGAGCAAGTGTTTTATATCTGGAACTAGTCTTTTCTCCCATAAGTAACTTATCTTACAAATCTGTCAGAAATTGTGAAATTGCTTTATTACTCAACCTTAGCAACTTCGACACATCTTCCCACTTGGCTTAGAGTTAACGCGGTTGTCTTTGTACTCTAAGGTCTGAGTTCCGGACGAACCTTGTTTTTTCCGTATATATGAAATTGAAATTTTTTTCCGGTAAAAATTGAATGGTTGGACTTTCGTTTGTCTGCTTATATTTTTTCGGCTTAGTTACCACATGGGGGATTTTTCATGTGCGGTCAGCAACATTCATTGTAGAGGGAAATCTTTTTGGTTACTTCTTTAATTTGTAAAAATAATAGTCTTGATGTTGTATATTTTCATTCGCTTTTTTGTTTTTTCGCTTAAAAGTTTTATTCGGCATAAACAGTTTCGGTTTTTGATTTATCGTTTTTTTTCTGTGTCGCTTTTAACGCAAAAAATGTTTGTTGTTTATTTAAAATTTTCTGCTCAATAGGCGTCTACTAACTTGTAGTCGGCTTATTTGCCGGTTGGTAAATACTAAAAGGTTATTTGAAACTGGTGGTTGTCTTTTTGGACTATTGTTTACCTCTGCGATAATTTAATTTATTTTCTTTTGTTCCCATTTTTTTCGATTTCATTTTCATTTTGCTAGCTTGCAATACTGCGCTTGTGTTGTATCGCAAGTAATGCGAATATCTGCTTTGCCTTTGTGTCAATTTTCGGTATGAATTTTGCAACCATACAAACTTAAGCCACAAATATGAAAAAAAAAGAATTAAAAAAGTTTTTCCATTCTTTTCTTTAAAATCTTACGATAAGGAAGGGTAGTGCAATCGGTTACCAGAGTTTTGTTTCCGTAAATAGTTTTTTTTGCAGGACTTTTCATTTGGATTCGTTTCTTGAACGCTTTTGAGGGCAATAGTTTTACCGCTACAGATATATTTTGTGCTTATTAGCATTTCAAACAAATATATGTCCAATTAAAATTATCTTTCTCTGTTGGTTGTATTTTCCTAGTTCGATTTGTTGAAATGTTTTTTTTTCGTTTTTTTTCTCTTTTTTTTCCGGCCTGATAGGTTTCAGCCTAAATTATATCGGCTGATTGCCCTTCTTTTGCATTATATCGCTCGACGAGCAAAAAGTTTTTATTTCGGCTTTTTTCTTAATTTTTTTTCGGCTGAATAGGTTTTGGCATGTATTATATTGGCTTTTTGGCCTCCTATTGCGCCGTCGACGAGCTGTGTTTGTTTTTAGGGTAAGATGGACTTTTTTTATTGGTCTTGAATTTTTTTGAATTTTTTTTGGCTTTTTGTGTTTCTTTCTCCTTTTTCGACTTGATACGTTTCGGTCTTTTTTATATCGAAATATTGGCAGCGTATTGTTTCATTTGACGTGCGAATAAAATTTGTTAGCTTAAGAGTGACGGGGACTTGATACATTTTTTGAATTTTTTTTCGCCTAAAGGGTTTCTGTTAAGGTATTTTCGGCTTTGTTGCCGCTTGCTAATTTTTTTTCGATGCTTTTTTTTACATTTTATTGTCTGGGCACGTTTTTTTTTTCATAGCTAGCTGCATTCTTTTAGAAAGATTTTGTTTTTGACATTTTCAAATTTTTTAGTTTTTTTTCGACTTAGCGGCCTTCTTGTTTTGTATTGCAAGTGGTGCGAAGCTCAGCTCGCCGCTGTGTTAAAATTACTGTAATCGGAACATTATGTGCTACTTGCTCAGGAACAGGTAGTTCATGTTAGTTATTTGGAAATGGTTTTTTTTTTCATTGTTGTTTAACGCATTTAGCCTTGATTGCTTATAACTTTTGAAATTTTTGCGGGTCTTATATCCTTTGCTTTGCAAGAGAAAATACAATGTTCGATGTATACCTGTCAAAAGAAGCGGCATCTCCTAGCTTACTTGATAGCTTACAGAATTGAGGGAAACAAACGCTATGAAAAGTGTGGTCGCCATAAATAGTGGGAAATGTTTTATAACGAAATATTTGCCAGCTGAAGATCGAGCAAATCTGACCTTGTGTTTAGGACAAGAAGTCTATGCGAGAGTGTCTAACTGCGCAGGAGGGAGTGCCAGACCAGTGCAGACATCTTGCCACACAGCTCTACATATGCAAGAGATCAGTGGTCAGTCCACTACAGAACACGACTAAATTTTTGACATTTAGGGAGTTTATTTTTTCTTATCTATGTTGGCTGTAGACGTTTACTAGTAAATTGGTTTCAGTTTGACCCTCGATTCAGGATTCAAGGCCGAAAGGACGAACACATTGACAGATAGTGCCCAAGTAGTCCAAGTCATTTGACCTAAATTGCAAATAGTAATGAAGCGGAGACTCTTATTTTTTATCAAGTAGATCGAATTGAATTTTATATAGTATTTGAATGGGTTCCTAATCTAACTTCATGCGAGACAAAACTTTTGCTCTCATTGTGGATATGTTGGGTGGGAACATGATACATATTTCTGTTGCTTCAGCTCTGGTGCATTGTATATGAAACATGTATTTTTCAGATTGTTTTGTTTGGTTGAATCGGCAATGCCTCTGACTCCGGAGGAAGTGGACAAGTTGTCTGACATGTGGGCCAATGCATACACCTCCACACACGAAAAGTACTCCAAGGTAATTGATAATGCAAGGGCAAACACGTCAGGGCGTTGGGTAGGGTGCTCACATTCAATGCAGCCATTTTATGTTCCGTTATTGCTATTTAAAAACAAGGGTAGCCGGTTGCTGTACTAGTAGCACAGAATATTCCACTCACATTCATAAAAAAACTACAAAAAAATTTTCTTCATTTTTGTTCCGATTTTGTAACGAGAAGTAACAAATATTTGTGCTCAGTGGGTTTTTTTCTTCAGACAAATTTCGACTTATTAACTAGCCATTTTTGACGGAATTTTTTTAACATCATTCAAAAGCTATTGTTGTCTTGAGCTTAAATTTGAAAAGATTTTTCACCTCTGATCATTTTTTGTAAAGTTATGGGGGTTTCAAGATTGCCATTTTGGCCAATTTGGGACAATTAACGCGCGATATACTTCATCCTTTGGTACTTTATATGGCGTGTGGGGGGTTGGTATTCATAAAGTTTTCATTTTATTTTTTTGATTTAATTTTTTTTTAATGTTGTTACTGCTCCATAAACCCTAAAAGGTAGTCGGAACATTCAGGGCTTCGCCCTGATACGAGCAGTCTTGTTTCAATTTATTGACGTTTTCGTCCGCGGTGTGATGAGAAAACTATACAAACGCACATAAAATTAGTGAATTAGGCATAATTGACGAGTTGTCCTGAAAAATTGAATAACAAACAAAAAAATTTAAAAGCCGATATTTTTGCACAATAGTTTTAAAATATTTTTTGGAAACTTTTTTGCTTAGGAAACGCCAAATGAAGCCGCGAAAAATAGTTTTTGATTTAGTATAATCAAGTTGCCTGAAATTTTCATATAACGAACGTTACTCGATCCCTTTTATTGCTAAAAATTAGCCATAACCTCAAAAGTTTAAAACAGGTATTTCTCGACACTGGGACAATTTTTCAATTTCGTTCGAATTACGGCTGAAAGGACTTCAAAACATGATGTATCACTCGACTCTATCCAATTAATTTTTTATGGTACCTGATCTTGCGTGGAAAAAAACTAAAAGTCACCCGAATACAAAGGTCCTCCCCATTTTCAATGGTCGTACCAAAAAGTGCATTGAGAAAGAAACCCACGTCTATTTTCAAGTCTCAGTTTCCTTAAGAGAGTTCTATAAAAGCTTAACCTGATACCTATAAGTTTGGTGATGATTCATTGTATCTTGTTTGCAGACGGAACCACTCTCGGACCAGCAGGTGTTTGCGGAACTGTACAAAGACATTCTACACAGTCCAGCCATCCACACTATTCTGGGAGTGGAGCACAGCTACAGTGTGGCACTGAGGGAGGCCAGAGAGAGGAAGGAGAGGGAGGTGAAGGAGAAGACGGAACAGTGCATGGACAAGCTAGAGAACATCAAAGTCACTGCCGAGCAAAATGGTAAGCAATCCGAATGACGTCACATAAATACGGAAGCGAAGGGCGGGAAGTGTTCATCACGAAATCTACAGTTTAGATAATAAATAACGGTTCCAAAGGCTTTGTTCCTTACGAGAGCTGCGAAATGTATCAGAAAAATGTAAGATCTCTTGACATGACACTGGCAAGAGATCTCGTAGCAAACGAAGCTTTTTGTTCAAAATAGCTAAAGGAAGTTCAGTGTGCCTCAAATTAATCACTGAATTACATAAAATTTGAGGCACACTGAACTTCCTTTAGCTATTTTGAACAAAAAGCTTCGTTTGCTACGAGATCTCTTGCCAGTGATTAATTTGAAATATATTAAAATGTACTAATTGAAATTTATTTGTACATGTTGAAGTGTGCCTATCATTTTTGGAGGTTTGTACGTTTTTTCTTGTCTTATTTTTGTGATAGAATATATTTATCTATGGTGTTCGATGCCTAGGAACACCTCTGTCAGATGACCAGATTAATCGCCTCTACGCCACCCACTTTGAAGACCTCGAATTCATGGAGTCCACATGGGAAAGTGAGCTCAGTCTGCTTCGAGACACACAGAAGAACGAGTTCAGAGAATGGCTCAACACTGTCTCCGAAGACCTTCATTCTAATGAAACCAAAATCACATATTCAGATACTTCAACTAAATTGTCAGTAAACTGTTTGGAACCAGATTTGGAAGAAAGTTTCACGATATATCTCGGAACTCAGATGAAAACGATGCACAACATAAGGCTACTCGTAATGGATCCAATTGATCTGTGTACTTCAACAGTCGATGAAATTGAAGGTACTTTCTCTAGGGATCCGAAACGAATGCAGACAGCTTTGACTATGTACTCAAATAACCTTTCGGCTCTGGTGATGGTGGTTGGAAACAGAGTTCGATACTCCTCTGATTTTATGACGTCACTGGCAGAAATTTGTTCCAAGAATTGCGAGTTTCATTTTCCGGATCTGGACCAGCAGCTGCAAGCTATACAGGATGATATAATTGGGCTGAATTACAAGAGATTTCCAAGTTTGATGAACTTGAACTCGAGTGAGAATAGTGCGTCGGGATCAAATGAGTTGATTATTCCCGTAGGGTCTACAAACAGTGGAGAATCTACTTCAGATCAAGGCGAGTCATTGATTTTCCCCAATTTCAACAAAAGACGAAGTGTTTTGCTTTTCAAAATTTTACTAAAAGATTTAATGGTTGATAGGAATTTAATGATAGGTTCGGAGAAGCTCGATTTCTTTGATTTTTTACCAGAGAATTTTCCTGGATGTGTCAAAACAACGTTCGTTCAGAATCTAAAAACCAATCCGACAAAAAAAAATTTTTTTAAGAGGTGATTGGAATTTATTTTCAGTGTCTCTGGCCTCCTCGCAACTCGGTGCAACTGGAACCAATAGCCAGTCGGCACTGAATCCCACCCCCAGTCCACTTCACTCCACTTTGAGCCAGATGTCTCCACAGAACCAGAGGAAGTTCAAGGCACTTTTACCCGGAGATGTGTTCATCACCAGACATTCCAACTTGTCAGCAGTACATGCCATTTTCCATCTAGCAGGAGACGCCAAGGTCATTATTTGGCTCTTTTCATACACCATTTTCCTACTGTATAGTAACTAATTTTGTGGTGGCCATTATTTGATAAGGATTGTTTTACTCAAAGATAAGTGATATGTTTTCAAGTTTTTCGTTAAGTCTAGGTGCAACTTTGCTACTTGAGATATTGTTGAAGTTAAGTTATTAGTTATAAACATCTGGCTAACTTCATCTAAATTGAGATTTTGAAACGTATATATCAAATTATTACAGGTGGATGCATTTGATATGAACTCGCAACACCCGACTTTTAACGGTATCAGAAACATATTCAAAATGGCCATCGATTTCGACATTATCAACATCTACATCCCACTTTTACTCACAGACACAATAAAAGACGATAAAACTCTGGACCAATGCGTGAAAAGAGCTGAACTAGTATTTAAATGCGTGAAGGGATATATGATAGAAGCAACCACGTGGACAACTACAAAATCACGCACTATTCAGTTCTTGTTACCAAGGAAGTCTTCGCCAGATTTGTTTTACCAATTAAGGAGGACATTACAGGAGACCTTTCCGATATCGAATCCTGTGGTGACTAAGGTTACCAGTAATGGTAGCTGAAAAGGGTTCATTTTAAAATAAACTTATTAGTTTATTGATCAAATCTGTAGTTTAAATTGATGTATTTATTGAGCACAAATTTGGAAAAAAAGACGTTAATTAAGTACCCTGACTTAAGAACCTTTCTTGAATGAGTACCATTTGAATGTAAAAAATAACTCATCGGGGTTCTCATGCGCCCAGTTTTTTACGGCAGGTTTTTTTTTGAATTGAAATGATGTGAAATTATAACGCATGAGTTTGTTTAATGGAGTGTAATTAAGAGTAATGAATGTGGTGAGTTTTCTTATATAGGTCTTGGTGATTTTTTTTGGTTTTTCAGAAAAAGTCTAAAAAATTGTTCACGCTCAATTTTGATTGTTAGCAGTTTGACTTTTGATTTCTTTTTAAGTTCACTTCATTTATGTGTTAAAAGGAAGGCAAACTCCACTATCGAACAGCGAAATTGTAAAGGTCCCGAAAAACGTGACCGACTTTTAATTTCGAAAATGGAAATTAATTATCAGATTTTCCAGCAAAATAAAAGTTTCACCTATTGATCCAGTTTTCTCAAGTTGGGTTAATCTTATCAAAAAAGCGCCAATCATATTTGGTTCTAGAAATATCTTAAATCTATTTTTTTTTTGAAATTCGAAAATTTAGATTTTTTCAACAAAGTCAAGTGTTTTTTTTTCAGTTTCTTTGCGTTCATTGATCTTATTCAACCGTCTGTTGGCTATATTTGAGGGAAATATTTATCGGCTCTGTTCCTCATCTGCTTTTGTTGCAGAAGATTTTAGAGAGCCAGAAATTGACTGATGCTTTTTGCTTCACCCCTCGGTTGATTAGTCTTAAACTGTTTGGGTTTTAGTGCATCCACATTACTGGACTTATAGCGACTGAAGATACACAATCTAAATATTAAGAAAGATATATTAAATACTTTATTTTAGAATTAACCTTATTTCAGGTTCAGTAAAATTTTATGACTGAGTCTGTTAACATGGAAGAGCCGCCTCTGCGTGATGTCATGAATGATCGCAACAATTCCTCTATGGAAACTGAACCCAACGTCTCAAACAAAGAAAGCAGCAGTCTTGAGCCGAGGGTGAACAAAATTGAGTCAACTGAAACTACTGCTGCTCGGCAACTTGTAGAACTCGGGTGGGGAGTTCAAGCTAATAGTGATAGTGACACGAGCGGCAGTGTGAACAAAGAAAATTATCACTTTTTGGACGCACCAGACGTTGTTCGACTGTCTCGAAATACAATTGACTTACAAAGAAAAAAAAGCGCAGATGAAACTTCGAACCGTGGTTCATCATTGTCTAGACATGATTACGCCTTGAAAAAAGACATTCAAGCGAAATTTGATGAATTTTTGAATGAGCAGCGGGATTTCACGCAGAATTTCTGGCTGAAAAATTACTACGAAAATGAGGATTCAGATTCAAATCAAAGTGATTTTGAAATACCGTTTGCAGACTTTTGTGACACGCAACGGGAACGAATAAAAAGGAGAGACAAGCTGGAAAGGCACAAAATGCTGAAAGAAGAGGCAGAGAAAGTTTACCCGTTGATTGATTTCAGCAAGTACGAGAAACCGAAAGAAGAGGTCAATAAGCTGACAGAATCTGTAGACCAAAGCAAGAAAGTGGAAGAAGTACAACAGGTGCTAATTGAAGCTGCGAACTCATCAGGAGCTCCTGAAGATGACTTGTCTAGCGAACGTCTCAATAGACCAAGACGGTCAGCCGCGATGCGCAATGCTGCGAAACCGAGCGATGATGTGAGCGGTGCTGCAGCTACCAATGCTTCAGATGTTCCCAAACCCGAATCCTCGATGGAACTTGACATTGCTGCTGGACCAGTAACTAGTGGTATAACAAAAAATGAAGCTATTGAAGCAAGTGCAGATGTTAATGGAACCAATTTGGCTCCTCAAGATTCTCAGACAGCACCAACTGATGATTTGAAACCAAAATCTTCTCGTGCAGCAAAAAGAGCTGCTGCAAAAGCAGAACCGACGACAGATCCGACAACTGAGGTCGCTGAAGTCGAAGAGGACAGAAGAATTCCGTTCACGGCAGTCGAAGAATGGGGAAATGTGTTCGGATATTCGGCTTCAGGAGAAGAAATAGCTGTAATTGAATTGAAACCGGTAGTGCGACTACCGCCTTACTTTCAGTTTCTTAGAACACCGGTGAATGTACGGGTTCCAGATGCGACGGAGTTGCAAAACTGTCCTTATTTGGGAGATGAGTTGGGAGCGAAAGACAAAAAATTTTTGGATGATTTGATTTATAATTTTGAAGGTAAACTTCGAGCCTGGGGTGAAATCGAGGATATTCCGCCTCATTTGTTTGTGGAAATTACCCAAATGGTTTGGGAGTCAATGGGTGTTAATATTAAAGCTCCTGAATTAAATATTCGAGATCCACCCATTACGGTTTTTAAAAAACTCGGAAAGATGTTTAAAAGTGACGATTACATCAAATTAAAAGAACGATATGTTAATTTTTCAAGCGATAAAAACGAAATCAAAAACCTAAGAGACTTAACTGACACGACTAAAGTATTTACACGTGAAGAAAGTTTGAAAACATTTGCAAAATTTTTCTGTCGAAGGTGTTATCGATACGATTGCGAAATGCACGATTCGATCCCACTTCCAAAACCAATGAAAGCTTTATCAGACTTGCCTAAAAATAATATTGAGTTATGTAAAGAGAACTGCTACATGGAATATCATAAATGCATATACTTTATCGTATCAGCTGAATTGGGAAATCAATGGACGAAAAGATATGAAAGCGAAGAGCCAATGTGGTCTAATCACGAATTGACTTTACTTAACCTTATCAAAGATGGACATGGCAAGAATATTTGCAATATAGCGTCATGCTTTCCGCGAAAAAAATGTGTCAATGTTTTCAATCAGTTGTTGAAAGATGGATCTTTGAGCAGGCTGAATTTTAAAGATACCAAACCGAAATTCGAAATGAGTGCAAGTGCAGAGGTTGCGAATCGATACGAAGTTGCCCCGGGAGTTTACGTTACGAAACGAGACCAGGTTAGCTGTCTTTTTTTTCTGGTTATTTCTATCAATCATAATAAATGGATTTGCGTAGCTGCGACTTTCGTCTATCTAATTCAAATATCCGGGCTCAAAACTTGGAAGTTTTCCAAGTTGTGGCAACAAGAATAAGTTAGTATCAAGTTTTACAATATTTACACAAGCAAAAGTTAGCGTTAAATTTAGAATTCACTTTTTGTCCTACTCGCAAAAATAAGCGCATAGCAAAAGTTTTCGATTTCAGTATTTGAGTGCTGCTCCTGTTTTTGATCAGCATGTGATTTAGCCGCTTTAGTTATGGCTGGTGTTTGAAACACAGCAAAGTTATATGGTTCAACTGTCCAGACAGCAGAGTCTGAAATTGCACGTCGAAACATTTGAATCCCATCGGCGACAATTTTGAAGCGTATTCCTTAAATATAGTTTTCTTGTAATTCTAACCTGTGTATCCAAAAATGGTGAAATTTAACCACTGCGGGAGCTACAACTGGAGCTAACGAAAAATTCTATCTTTTTTTTCTGCTAACAAATATCGAAATTTATGATTGAGCTTTCGTGTAAAATAAAAACTAATCATATGTATTTTCTGTTTTTGAAGTTCCTAGTTCAATATTTGGAACTTAAATATACATTGATATCTTTTCGCTTGTTTCTTAAGCCTGTGTTTAAGAAGCACAAAAGTGCTTGTCTCATTTTAGACCAGTAGAGGAATGGAAGCAACAGTAAGTGACTAAATTTTTGTTCCTTTTGGCAAATTGAATATTCTCTAACAGATTTTTTTTGGTTCTCCGAAGTTTTCAATTTGGAGATTGAGTAGAGGAGTGATTACGCTTGCGATTAGCAAGAGTGCTGTTTATGATTTTTTTCTTTGTCCAGCAATCAAATGTTATACTTTAATCACGAAGTATAGGATTCGATCCAACTGTAGCTTTCGTAAAGCTCTGTAAACGTTTCGATCCGTTTTTGAAACTATTTTTTTTGACGATGACCTTTCCGGCTTCCTGGTGTTCGCCAGAACCTCTGTCGTTTTAGTCTATGAAGGCTGAATTTCTTTTATGTGAGTGGAAGTGTTGTTAGAGCCATGAAGGGTCTTAAGGCATTGCAAGCTGTGATATAGTGTCCCTTCGGATGGCTGTGGACAGCTATATCGTTGTTTATTGTTAATGTTGTAAGCTGTTCGGATAGTAATTAGCGCTACTGGCTATCAATTATTATTGAATTGTATTCATAAGTTATATGTCTCGAGCGGTTAAGACTTATCTTGCTTTTAAGGACGCAGGATTCGGTTCTTAACTTCTGGAATATCGCTAGACGATCGGCGCAAGTTAGAGCATGATTGTAATATTTTATTCTGTTCAAGTCTACCCAATTGATTAGTAGCTCGGTATAAATCTCTCTTGATTGGTATTAATTACCATCAATATTTACATAGTTAAATAAATATAAATGTATGAACTTCATTTCATTAACAAGGTTATTTATGAAATCTATTATAGCATAAGAATGCATGACATCATGCAGTGATGTCACACTACCTCACAAGAAGAAATCTTCCCGGGTGGTTTTAAGTTTTTGACTGTTTACAGTTAAAATAATCGAGTTTAAAAATTTACAATCAAATTGACAGAATATATACTGCTACAGGAAAATTGGTTATCTATCTATCACGTTATGGCAAGAATTAATTAACACTCAATGAGTTGCAGGTACAGGTTATTACTTCGAATTACATAATGTGAAATAAAATTGTATTGTTGTTAAATGGGAAATATTTTAAAGGGTACAGAAAGCCACATTGAGTCGGGTTAAGGGAGTTAAATGATAGATGATAGGGTCAATTCGATGATAGCATGATATTGTCAGTTATCAACTGTAACAAAATTTGCACGGCAAGTACTGTAGTGTCGTGTAGCAGACTATTGTTGTTTGTCGTTTCGTTTCAAATTTTCGTATCGCTGACTTCGTCCATTGTTTGGTGCATGTCATTCATTTTGCTCCATTGATGCCTAAGTTTATTGTTCACTTTGATATGGGCTTTTTGATCCTTCTATTAGCCTCGGTTTTTGTGAATGTGTATCCAACAACGTAACATTGCTCTGTTTTGTCGAAAAATTCACGATTTTTTTTGAAGTAAACAGCTTATAAAGCAATGTGTACTTTGTTGTACGTGCTAAAAAGTTGCCACTTTGGGTTTCAGATAGCATCTGATTGTTAAGAAGTATTCTCATCTTCTTCTTTTGGGTATTTTGTGCCTCTAGTGGCCTGACACCCTGAAAGACAAGGGTACACTTCTTTTTGTGTGAAGTCAGAATTCCACTTTTTAACGATGATTTTTGCTTTTTAGCCACTATCGTCTCATAATAAAGAATCTGTCTTTTTGTTTTCAATTTTTTTCTTCTGCTGTCACTGCACTTCGCTCATATTGGCTGTTCCAGTACTTTGCTGGTTCGACTGAGCAAAATTTAGCGTAAGACAGAATGACAAAAGATGGATTCCCCTTTTTTTCAAAGTTTTTGAAGATTTTTTGGTCTGGTCGTATCTTTTAAGACTCGAGGAAAATGTTCAGTGTGTCTGACAGCCTATCAAGTTTGTCCCAACGGTTGCGGTGGATGATTTCCGGCGTAATCATAGCTTTTAAGTTCGGGTTTTTAGCGAATAACTCCATAGATTTTTTTTCTCGTTTTTGCCTATCTTATTACATGGGAGTTTCGGAAAACGATGTATCTTTCTCAATTTTGATCTGCTAGTGAGCTGACTTCATACACGTTCCTCTTTGGCCATTTGGTGGTCACTGGGCTCAAAAAAAGATACTGTTTCTTCTCCTCGTTTTTGGGGGACGTCCAACTTTTTTATAGCTAATGCTTAAACATGGGCAACAGGTGGATTTTTCCATATCTCGTGAAGTTGAGATCTCCTAGTGAGCCGACTTCCTGCCTGTGTCCCGGTAGGCCTATAAGGATGATCCAGGAGTATGAAACCGTTGTACCACGCATATGGTGTCTTGGACGTCCGTTTTTGCGGAAATCTCGAATTTGAAAGAAGACATTTTCTCGAAATTTTGCCTTTTTTCCGACTCAACTTCGTCTTTTTCGATTTTTGCATCATCAGCTGGTTGCTGTTGGAGCTAGAAAGGGTTATAGTAAATGCATGAACGGTAAGGCATGATATCAAGATTTTGTTTCATATGTAAATGAAATTTTTGATGTTCGTTTTTTCGAAAATGTCGCTTATGAGGCTGAAAACTCTACTTTCTTTCAATTTGTCGAGTCCACATCCAATCTTTGGTAGGGCCATCTCTTGTATGCCTTTCTGGAGGAGCGGCTTCTTCATGCAATTAAGGCTTCTTGACAAATTGTAGTTGGTTGGTTTTTCGAAAAATTGAGATTTTGTAACTAAATTGAAAATTGACTTGTTTTCCCAAGGCAAAGACACAGCAACTGATGACCCAACTATTGGTGGTTCAATGCTTTTTAAGGTTGGTCTCATGCATGGATAGGCACTGCTGATTTGTCGTGCTACTCCTTTGTTCATATGAAAGTCACTTGAGACACAGTGCGCTATAAAACATTTCCTGGTCCGACAAAGATATTTGGTTCATGGTAGATTGAATTCACTGAATCTTTGCTGCTTCCAGCTCCATCTTTACTTTTAGTCAGTTGCTTAGCTCGTTTAACTGTGTCTTTTAGTATATTTCGTTTCGTTTCACGTTGAGGGAAAGATTCATTTGCCTCTTCTACTTTCTTCTTCATTTTTGATCGGTTCTCGTTTTGAGTTGATCTTGGGCTGAATGTTATTGGAGCCACTTCGTGTCCATCTACTGTTCGCAGGCTGAATTTTCGCGGTTGCAATTCGCGTGGTGGTATTGGGTGATATCTCACATCGTTGCTGAAGCGCGTTTGGCAAAATATTTTGTCTCGGGCTTCGACTGCTGCTTTGCGCTTCGTTCGCGATGTTTCTTGGGCCATGTTTTGTCCATCGTTTTCGAGATTAACAGTAGTAGGCATTGTTACCGCTGTCTCGTTCATTGGTTCGTCGTTATTTATTTCATCGTTGTATTCAAACTTAGGTGGAGCTAAGGGTTCTGGATCTGGGTCCGGTGGAAGTGCTGGTGGCGGCGGTGCTGCTATTGGTAGCGGTACCAGAGGTAATGGTGCAACTATTGGTGCTGCTGCGGGAATTGGGACTGCTGCAGGAGCGATTGGGGCTGCTGCGGGTCCTCCAAGAGGTACTGACAGTCGGATTCGAGCAGGTGCATCGGGAAGGTTGCTTTGTCCACCGGTTGCGGGTTGGATGTCGTCTAAGAGTTTGGGCAAAGAATCGTCGAAGAGTCCTGGTTCACTTCGATATTTACCAAGTGAGGGATCCGTTTCAAATTTGCTTGGATCAATAGTCTCGAGATCTTCTGGTTGATGCTGTGGAATAACAGGTCTGAGACGAATCCGGTGTACGCATTGTGTGAAATTAGTTCCCATTTTACGAATGATGTAGTTTGAATTTGTCAATACTTTTTCAACTCTGTACAATGGTATCCAGACTTGCATTGATATGCTCCCAAAATCTGATTGTGTTGTCAACAGAGGATTTAATAATAAACAAAATGAATGCTGTTTCAGTGGCTGGGCAAGTGCTTTTTGATCGTAATATCCTCGGTATTTATGGCAAGCTGAAATTAAGTTCTTTTTCGTTTCTTTGAACTTTTCTAACATCGCATCTTGCATTGCCGTGACAAAATCAGATTCAGCGGTTACTGTTTCAATTGCTTTCGTTGAAAAGCGGAGATCAAGTGGTTTTGTCGTTTCTCTTCCATGGAAAATTGAGCTTGGGCAGCATCCAATTGATGAAGAGTATGAAGTATTGTGGATAAATGTTGCCAATGGGACATATTTGTGCCAGTCCGACAATTGTTCATTAGTGTTCAGCTTTAGGATTCGTTTAAGTGGTACATGAGATCGTTCGACAAGACCAATAGTCTGCGGGTGTTTTATTGTCGCGTGGTTAAGTTGAATCTCGAGCAATGTTGTCAATTCGTGCATCAGTTCTGAAGTGAATGTCTTTCCAAGATCAGCTAGAATCTTCTTCGGGATATAACTATGAACAAAGAACATCTTTGTGAGTTCTCTCGCAACGGTATCCGCACTGGCATTCGTCAATGAGGCTGCAAACAAGTATTTCGAGAATACATCGATTCCCGTGAGAACAAACTTGTAGACAGGTGACTTCATTGGTCCAACTATATCAATTTGCATCATATCGCCTGGGAAACATTGCAATGATGAAATTGGTTGTAGTGGTGGAATCTGATGCTTTGCCGTTGCCTGTTTAAGTTGCAGACACGTCAGGCAATTTTTAATCGTATTAGTTAGGAATTCAGTGAAGCCGGGAAGGTAAAATCGTTTTCTGAACTCTTCTGATGTCCTTGTCATTCCAAGATGTCCGCCAGTTGGCGAGTTGTGGAGTCGATACACAGCTTCTTTCCAACGATGTTTAGGTAGGCAGTATTGTTTATACTTCACCTTTCCTGTGTCATCGAAGAAGTTTCGGTACAGAACGTCGTTTTCAAGTACGAGTCGATTAAATTGCTTCGCATATTTCTTCTTTCGACTGTTTTCGTACGTGAGGTTTGGAACTTGTTCATTCCGTATCCAGTTCTTCACATCTTCGATATCAGGATCCTTTTCTTGTTCATTTTTCGGATTGAGAACTTCGTGACTCAAATTCAGGT